GTTTTATTTCTTCCCTCAGATACTAGTAGCCGTGGTGTTGGTGTCCCTGCTGCTGGGCCTGGCCCATGGCCTGGCTCTGCCTGGCCGAGAGTCTAACCCCAGATCTGCCAACAGAGGCAGTGGTTATCGCTACGGTTATCGTCACCACCAGCACCACTACACTCACAAGCATCATCACCACTATGGCCTCTACCGCTTCCGTTAATATTCCTCCTTCCTCCCTCTCTCCAATGGATATATTATGATTGTCGTTCAAGGAATATATTGTGATTGTCGTTCAAAGAGTGTATTGTGTTTCGTTATCACAAGGGGTATATTGTGACTTGGTCACGGGATGTGTAGTGATTGTTCGTCACGGGATGTATTGTGTCGCGGAATGTATTGTGACTGTTGGTCACGGGATGTATAGTGATTGTTCGCCACGGGATGTATTGTGACTGTTGATGACGGGATGTATTGTGTCACGGGATGTATTGTGACTGTGATGAGCATCATTGGCTAATACTAAATAATTATACGATTTTCTTATGAAATAAAATATTTTAATTTTACTTGGTTTCCTGTATTTCCTTTATTATATTTATAATAATCGCGTGTTATTATGATGTACTATTATGAAACTGTATACAATTTTATTATGAAATATAGGTTATTATTATTGTCTATATTTTGATAGCTTTTTAATAAGCTATTACTGATTTTTTTTAACTGACTGGCCCAGGCTGGACTAGGAATAGGCGTCGCTAGTGACTATCTGTTGTATAGTAACAGTTACTATACAACTATCTGTTGTATAGTAACTATTATACAAAAATATTTATTGTGGTTTAAAAAACACTACTTGTCGATAACAACAACTAGCAGCCTATATGCAACTTATATATATGAAACTTGTATATGAAACAACAACAACTGCAACTTATATGAAATTAGCAGCATTACAAAGTTTGTCTAATTAAATAATTAGCTTAGGCTATTTCTACCGTCCTCTACAAGTCCCTCAAGGGAGGGGCCAGTCAGGTGTGCTGCTCCTAACTTCAAGGTGCTTAAATTCTGAGAAACGTCCAACCTCGGTGACCAGAGGTCGACCAAGTGTTCCGACACCCCTCCCCCCAATCCCCTATCCCCGAACCCCCAGCACACATACCCACCACCACAGTACTAACTCTCCTACACCGGCCACTCCTTATCAACGGCCGCGCCTCTACTGCAGCGACCCTTTCGGTCAAGGACACATATACATGCACGGAGTAGACAATGGTGAATCTACCACACGATAACCACCAACGTCGACATCTGAGAAACAGTTGTAGACTTGATGTGTCGACAACTGCCCGAAACTGCTTTGCGTAATAGTGGCTTTAGGCTTTGTATGTACTAGCTCTATCTATAAATCCATCAATGTTGTATCTCGCCTTGTATGTATGTACTTTATCTGAATAAACATTTGATTTTGATTTTTTATTTGATTTGAACTTATGTTTGTGAGTTAATAACCCACATATTTCAGCATTGAACATTACAAAAACAAAATTTAAAACTATAAATTCAGTGTAGTTTATACGTAAATTAAGAGAGATGACTGATATACATAGATTGGTAGTCTCCGTGGTGTAGTGGTAAGACACTTGCCTGGTGTTCCGCGAGCGCTATGTCATGGGTTCGTATCCTGGCCGGGGAGGATTTACTGGGCGCAATTCCTTAACTGTAGCCTCTGTTTAACGCAACAGTAAAATGTGTACTTGGATGAAAAAACGGTTCTTCGCGGCAGGGGATCGTATTCCAGGGACCTTAGGATTAAGGACTTGCCCGAAACGCTACGCGTACTAGTGGTTGTACAAGAATGTAACAACTCTTGTATATATCTCAAAAAAAAAAAGCCAATAATATTTTATATATATATTCAGACAGTACGTCACAATATCTTTGTTGAAAGTTAAGACAACCATTAGCCCCTCTGCAGTTTTCTTTATTCCTAGGGTATACCTTCTCGCCTCAGTCTTACTTTATATAGTGACTTTCTATACAACTCTTTCTCTTACGGGCAAGTCATGCCCGTGCCACCTCTTGGGTGGCTTAATCTTCATCAGTCAATCAACTCTTTCGTTACACGACTTGATAATGGTTCAAGACGGACCGAAACTTCGTCTGTTTATATGTTTATTATATAAAAATTCTTTTATATTATATAAGAAATTCATAGTTACATTTCGGGAAAGGTTATTTTACAATATTGCAAAGCTCTATGTATGTACTGTATTAGAATGCAGACTATTATTAAAACTTAAAATTAAATTCTCTTGCTTCCAATCTATTCATTTTGATCACATATACAAAAAATGTTTTATCAGAAATATGTAGTGACAGAGGAAAGTCTACGGACATCACCCGCCATCAGGGAAATATTTGCGAGGGGTAACTCAATTATATGGTCATGGGTATATCTGCTTAGGTCACCCTGAATGAGAAAACGGCTGTATCCCCACAGTTACACAGCACCGCTCCTGTGCCAGGTAAGTCCACTACGGGCTCACCAAAGCCCGTGCTACTTGCCCCGCTCCTGTGCCAGGTAAGTCCACTACGGGCTCACCATAGCCCGTGCTACTTGCCCCGCTCCTGTGCCGGGTAAGTTACGGGCTCACCATACAACCCGTGCTACTTGCCCCGCTCCTGTGCCGGGTAAGTTACGGGCTCACCATAGCCTGTGCTACTTGGAACTTGTTCCGAGTAGCTGAATCTATAACAACAGCAAGGCTGTATCTATGTGGTTACTCGTCTAGCTAGTGGGCAGATTAAATACTGATAAATATAATATAATTATAAATAAAACCCTAATGTAGTCTGTACAGAAACGTCAGCTAACCAAATACAGAAGATCTAAAAAAAAAAAAATTTCACCAATACCGCACGTAAGAGAAAACTCAAGGTACCATACCTTGTGAAACGCATTTCTAGGCGTCAGACCAAAATAAAAAAATGTAAAAATAAACTTTTGGAGAGTTAATTTTTCAACTTCCCCCGACAGTGATGAAAACATAAGAAATATTGAAAAAAATCGTGTTAAAATCATATTACCCTTGGACTATATTCAAATCTAAACTATATTTGTTATATTTACCTGTAAGCTGTTGTAGTGGCCTTAATAGCCCTCTCGAGGTTGGCGGGTCTTAAACCTGATACCAAACGAACCTAAATTGCCAGGCCTATATATGTTGGTAACACCTTAATGTCAACACTTAATATTCCGTGAAAAGTATGATATTAAGTTCTCTCCCGCCAGTTTCTTCCCTTATCTCTCCCTACATCCCCTACGGCACCTGTGTTGGGCCTCAACTATACAAACTGCCTCTAACACGTAATTCACACACACAAAAATAAGCCTATAGACTCAAGATAACCCTCTAACTACCGATGTAACTACCCCTCTAGCAACTACTTTAACTGCCAGTAACTACCCCTCTAACAACTACTCTAACTGCCAATATAACAACCGCTCAAATTGCCACACTTACTACCGTTCACACCTATGCTCTTAACTACCACTATACCCAGTCACTTTGAACGGTGGAGCGACGGTCTGGTTTCATGCAGGTCGGCGTTCAATCCCCGACCGTCCATGTGGTTGGGCACCATTCCTTCCCCCCGTCCCACCCCAAATCCTTATTCTGACCCCTTCCAAGTGCTATAAAGTCGTAATGGCCTGGCGTTTTCCCCTGATAATTACAAAAATAAAAAAAATAACTACCAAACTGACACGCTACCGCTCTAGCTCTCGCTCTAAATGCCTTTTTAACTGGCTCGTAATAACAATACGTTAACGTTCAACAATGTTCCTTTTACTCACATTTCTCCAGTGACCTTGAGCGTGTAACTTCCTGTAAAGCAGTTTACACCAAATAACAAGAAAGAAGTGTGCCATCGGCCGAGTCCTCAGGAACTGACCACAGGTAAAACCCACCCACTCTCACCTCTCAGGGTCAACAGCGGCTGGGTCCTCACTTGTTTTTCTACTAGAGCTCCGCGGGCGTGGTTGTGACAAATTGGGATGTTTGATATTTCTCGAGGAATATACATTATATATATACACACACTGCTGGTTGGATGAGCATTTCACCTACCAGCACGGAGGCAGGCGACGTATGCCTGGGCCACAAGTTTGGCATATCTTGAGAGGGGTATGGGAGAAGGGTACAAGACACTTCCTTCCTGATTCTTCCTGTGGTGTAGTATTTTCGGCCCAGGATAGGCACTTCCGGCCCGACCTGGCCGCCCACAGCATCAGTAAGGCCGCCAGCAGTGTTCCAGCTCATGTAACGCTGTGGCTAGGGCAGTTAGTTGTTCATGACTGTATGGTCCTCAGTTCGATTCCCGGGCAGAACGAGATGTTTGCTTAAACGACTTTGTTCACCTAGCAGTAAATAGGTACCCGGGAGTTAAACCATGTCAGCTGCCGTCTCTCTTATTAAGCGTCAGGCGAATATAAATTATAGTTTTCTTGTCTGCGGAATTATGCTCGATAAATAAAGTTATAGAAAAGTATACTTACTTTTCTATAACTTTAGTAAGTAGAGTAAGGAAAAGTAAATATACTTACTATTCCTTGTGTTGTTAGTTTTACATTAGTTTAATTTGACTATTATGTAGGGTACATTCATCATGGGGGATATTTTGCAGGGTCATGCTGGGAAGGTGGGGGGTATGTTGTTTATCTAACTTCAGCAGTTTACATTCAAGTTGAAATTTAAGTATTTTGGTAAGTGTTTCGAAATTAAAAAAAAAAAAAAAAAGAGAGAGCAAAGTCAGCCCTTGTGAGATATACCTCCTGACGACTCTCAGAGCTCCATCCTTGAAGCGACCCATTCTGACCCCCTTACCCCTCCCCCCCATCCCCCCTCCCCCCCATTCCCCCCTCCCTCATCGAAACGAGTCATATCGTTTCCTTATTACTTACTCCTCCCCCCCCCCCACCCACCACCTCTGTGTATATAAATACTCAGCCACGTGCTGGAATCATCAGTCTGCAGCTTGTATTCATCCTGAGGATATCAGATCCTACACCGCCAACATGAAATTGGTAAGTCTTGTAAAGTCTTTTTATTTTATTAGAATATTTGTAAAAAGAGTTCGGAGTAGTTTATAAAATCTAGCAATTTCTACACATGAACAATGCATGTCTTTCTTGAGGGCTACTTATTTTCTTACCCATTCTAGGTAAGGAAATTATTAGGAAAAAAGCGTTCAACTAGTATGACTATATAGAACTAGTTAATTTCCAGTTACTTCAACCTCCTTCTCCATTTTGGTGGAACAGTCTTTTCTGGGGGAGAGAGAATCAAAGGTTCTCTGGTAATCCAATTAATGCAATCTATCCTCCCCTTACCATCCGATAATACGTAGCCAGTTCCGTCCAGGTTCGAATCCTCATCACGGCCATTGTGGATTTGTTCATTTGATGCATCACACTATTGTGATTTCTGTGTGTAATTGGCACTCGGTTATTTAAGTTTGTGTATGACAGATGTTCAATGACCCACATTATTCTGTCATTTTTGGTTCATTATCTTACAGGGGAATGTAGGTCAGGGACTCTTAGTGTGTACTTTTAGGCCTCCAGTCTGACTGTCTTGAATATTGGCACCTTCCTTTGTAATTTTATTGATATCCGGACGTTCTACATCCACAATGTTCATGTTGTAGAATGTGCTATTGACACCAGACCTTCCTACAGCCAGTTTAGTCAGTTGATTCATTAAGTTCTTCTTAGATACCACCATATTGCTCAAGTATTCCTTGACTAGTCTGCTCTTGTCTGTGTTCAGTCTTTTAAGACTTACTGAGACCAACTGTTTAGTTCCTCGCAGACTTCATTGTCACTTTCTGTGAGAACATCTATCTTTAGCCTAATGACTTAGTTCCCTACAATTGTCTCTTCTTATAAGACGGTTCAATAGCCTAGGCTGTTCTTTAAGTTAGTATTTTATGTTATTCTCGAACTGCCTTTCAGTTTCTCTTCCTTTCTGCCTCCCTCTTTGCTTTATTATAGTGTAGTAATTTGTCCATACTAACTCTCTCGTGTATTTGGCCTACTTGCATTGTGTTGAATTACTGGTTTGTTTTTGTGTTTTGTCACATGATCACAATATTCCTCCATCTTATTAATTACTTTCCCCTCATATTCCTTCTCCTTTCCACTGTTTCCCCGCCGGTAGTTTCCTCCTGGGCCCGGTATGCAGCTTGTTGGCTACTATGTGATGACGTAACACTGACAGTGTTCACTGGCTTCAAGTGCTACCTTGTATTTTATCCTTTCGATATATGTTGAACTCTTAACAGCAAATACCCGTTTCTTGAAGTTCCAGACTGTAGTGTCCAAGTATGTAGACCAGATCACACACTAGAAAGTGAAGGGGCGACGACGTTTCGGTCCGTCCTGGACTATTCTCAAGTCGATTTCCGTCCAGGACGGACCGAAACGTCGTCGTCCCTTCACTTTCTAGTGTGTGGTCTGGTCTACATACTTCAGCCATGTTATTGTGACTCATTGCCTACATGCAGTGTCCATTAACTTCTTTTTCTATATATTTTCCTCTCAATGGGCATCCTTCCCATGTATTTATTTATTTATCTGTGATTAAAACCTCCGAAACTTAAGTCACTATGCTCTCGTCCTACTTACATGAGTTGAGGCTCTCTCTTGGGCAATCTGTCTACGTTGTTCTAATCTTATTTTTCCCTTGGCCTCCTGCTCTTTGTTGGAGTGTATGACTAGAGGATGATACTCCTCTTGTCATCCACTTACACCATGGCTATGGTTAAGTCCTTTACGTTGGCCTCTCTGCTACAGTTCTTGTCTCGAAATTCTTATGTATCATCAGTTCCACTTCTCCTCCACCCGTGTGTGTGTGTAATTACCTAAGTGAAGTTACAGGATGAGAGCTACGCTCGTGGTGTCCCGTCTTCCCAGCTCTCTTTGTCATATAACGCTTTGAAACTACTGACGGTTTTGGCTTACATCACCTTCTCACCTAACTCTTTCCAAACGTCTACCACTCTGTTTGTGAAAGTGAATTTTCATATATTCATTCGGCAGCTTTGTTTACTTAGTTTAAATCTATGACCTTTCGTTCTTGAAGTTTCAGGTCTCAGGAATTCTTCCCTATAAATTTCATAAATTCCCTTTACTATTTTGCACGTAGTAATCATATCTCCTCTTTTTCTTCTATTTTCTAGTTTTGGCATATTCAATGCCTCTAACCTCTCCTCGTAGGTCTTGTCCTTCAGTACTGGGAGCCACTTAGTAGCATGTCTTTGCACCTTTTCCAGTTTGTTAATGTGCTTCTTAAGATATGGGCACCATACAACCTCAGCATATTCCAGCTTCGGTCTAACAAAAGTCGTGAACAATTTCTTCAGTATTTTGCCAGCTATGTATTTAAAATCAATTCTGAGGTTAGAAAGTGTAGCATAGGGTCCTCGCACAATGTCTTTGCGTGTTCCTCTGGCGACAGCTTACTATCCAAAACCATCCCTAGGTTTCGTTCTTTATTAAAGTTCTGTAATTCCTTTCCACATAATTTGTAAGTTGTGTGTGGTCTAGTTTCTCCTATTCCACATTCAATAACATGACATTTATTCATATTGAATTCCATTTGCCAATTTACTCTCCAAGCACTTATTTTATCTAGATCGATTTGAAGGGCATTACAATCGTCTGCGTCTCCAATCGTCCCCAGCATCTTAGCATCATCCGCAAACATGTTCAAATAATTCAGTATTCCATCAGGTAGATTGTTTTCTACCGTAGATTTATGTTGGACCAGGATATCTGGAATATTAATTGAAGTGGAATGCTCAGCTCAGTTGCACATTATCGCAGCACCCAAGGTGAAACTCCATCAGGTCCAACTGCTTTATTTCTTCTTGGACCCTTGAGTAATTATTCCACTTTGCCTTGAGATACCTCTATAGCGTGCTTTGGAATTGGTATTGGGTCCGGTTCTATGAACGCCTCATTTTGTACAAACACACTTTGGAACTGCTCATTTAGCGTTTCACACTTTTTTATTTTTCATCCTCAGTAGTCCTGTTCCCTGTTCTCAGTCTTTGGATTTTATCCTTTACATACAGCTTGCTTTTAATGAATTTATAAAAAGGCCCGGAACTGTTTTACATTTATCTGCTTTACCTTTCTCTTTTCTTCTTCTTTTTCTTTTCTGAGTTTTTCTGAGAAAGTTCTTTTCTGCCTCTCTTCTCACTGTTGTGTAATTGTTTCTTGCTTGCTTGTAGTGCTGGTGTTTGTGGGTTAGGCCTCTTCCTATACTAAACCCATTTTCTTGTATTTTCCTACCTGGCCCTCTCGCGATTTATGTTAGACCAATCCTGTTTTCTGGTCCTGCATCTCTGTTTTAGTATGAATATTTGTGTGCCTTCCTCGTATATTTCGCAAAATTTGGCATACATCTCATTCACTTCCTTGCCTAGCAACAAGTATATCCAAATAAACTCATTAAACAATTTCTAAATTCCCCATAGTGTTCTCTCTCTTGAAATCGAGTTTATCAAATGTTTCAATGTCCCCATTCTCTTCTAGATTATATCGCAAGGCATACTCAATTTCCAACAGGAAATGATCACTCTTTCCCAAGGGAGGAAGGTACTGGATGTTAAATATCTCTTCTTCTTTCCTGGTGAATATTAGGAACATTAGTGTGTGTGTGTGTGTTTACTACTTGAATGTTGACAATATATATTCTTAATTCATTACAGTCTTGGGTGACTATCGTCCTGTGCGCCATGCTGGGCATGACCCTGGCCATGCCTGGTCCTGTGGCTCTACCTGACCCACAAGGACACTTTCACGGAGGACGTCGTGGCTTCGGCGGTGGCTTCGGAGGAGGTCGTCGTGGCTTTGGAGGTGGTGGTTTCGGAGGAGGCCATGGCTTTGGAGGTGGCTTTGGAGGTGGCTTTGGAGGTGGCATTCATGGCGGTGGTTTCGGAGGTGGACATGGCGGTGATTTCGGAGGTGGCTTTGGCCGACCTCACGCTCATGTCAATGTTGGGCATCATGGTACTGAAATTCTCATACATTAACCTTGAAACATTCAAGAAAACGTAAGACAACCCCAGTTTATAAACACTAGGAGGTCCTCTACTGCACCCCATTGTCTAACTTCACCGGAATCATGTCTTTCATCGCATCGATAAATTATGAGGAAAACATTATTGTACTCTACTGAAATAAAAACTCAGTAAAAAAAACTTGAAAATTAATTATACCACAAAACGTTTCTTAGAGAAAAGGTTTTTTTGACGGCATTAATAAAATGTACTGACCGGTGCTACTGATCTCGGTAGGTGAACCTCCAACACAAACAGGGATACAACATAGTGCTTGTGACTTTCTGGGGTTCACAGGCTGGTATACGCACCACTCTACAGAGTCTTCCGTAGAGTTTTTTTGCCTCCCACATGATTCAAATTCTACATGATTACAAATTTTATCTTTATTTCTCTGAGCCGTTGTTGTTGCTGTTCCTTGTGTGACGTTCATTACAGCTCTATGGCTCCCGTGATATTCCAGTCTAGGCCTTCTGGTGTCCATAGGAAGGACATCTATTGGAAGCAGTACCATGTACTGCTAGCGCAAATTTACGGATAATGCACACATATCCACTATGCCACATAAATTACAATACATGAACGCAATCAGTTGTAAGGAACAAACACAAGGGGGGGTAGAAATAGCCTAAGCTACTCTATCCCTTTGAGATGTATTTATTGCTTATCTCAATATACATACTTGAACTTGAACTTGAAGGAACAAACATCAACATTGTGATGTTGATGTTCACAATGTTGATGTTTTGAAAATCATCAACGAAAATCACGGTTACCAACGTTAAAGGAATTCTCTGTGTATTTGAAGTAGGAGCATCAGGGTGCTACTGGGTGACAGAACCCGAGTGCATGGGGGGGGAGGGGGAGGGGAATTGTGTGAGACCCCGATTAGGCTTCTGTGGAAACCTCGGGATCCTCGTGGGGGCAATAGCCCTCCAAGTTGCAATTCTTTTGACCATTGCATTACAATTCTTCTGTACCAAGTCGTGGTACAGTTGACTAGAACGCGTTTGGGAACACTTAGCGCATAGGTTCGAGCCCTCATCAAGGCTTTTGAGGATTTTTCAATAGTAAAAATAATAATAATAATAATACTTATTATTATTATTATTATTATTATTATTTATTTACAAAATACAGAGAATTTTATTACAAAGGATATTCAGTAGACAATTGTACTGTTTTCAACAAACCAATTACGCGAGAATACAAGTGTATAGTTCATATGATCAGCCTCGGAGCCTTGCACTCAGCCAACAGATGCTCCACCATGGGGGCCAATCCCCAACACCCCCCCCCTCCCCACACCACCCCATCTTAGAAAGCTGTCGGCCTCGCTACCCACCATCACTGGAGGAAGTATATAATCTCTCCCCCACCAGCGCTGGTGGGAGCATGTAATCTCTCCCCCACCAGAGCTGGGGGGAGCATGTAATCTCTCCCCCACCAGCGCTGGTGGGAGCATGTAATCTCTCCCCCACCAGCGCTGAGGAGAGCATATAATCTCTCCCCCACCAGCGCTGAGGAGAACATGTAATCTCTCCCCCACCAGCGCTGGGGAGAGCATGTAATCTCTCCCCCACCAGCGCTGGGGAGAGCATGTAATCTCTCCCCCACCAGCGCTGGGGAGAGCATGTAATCTCTCCCCCACCAGCGCTGGGGAGAGCATGTAATCTCTCCCCCACCAGCGCTGGGGAGCATATAATCTCTCCCTCATTTTAATGCGCCTCTGGGCACAAGGGAATCCAGGGTTCGAACTTTCGTAATTATAATCAACTGTAACAAATGACCTCATTCTCTTTGACTGCTACACTGTGATGATTGATCATACCTGACCTCACTCTCTGTGACTGCTACACTGTGATGATTGATCATACCTGACCTCACTCTCTGTGACTGAACAGGACAAGAATCTCTCGAACACTCTACCAAATGAAGACTTTCCACGTATATACATTAAATGACTTTCCTCGGTGTTTTGAAATCAAGATACAATTTCTATGTCATCATTTTATCATAGTAAATGGAGTATCCGGCAGTGCCCGGGTCGACCCCAAACAGCATGCATAATTTAAGTATTGTTATTCCCAGAATGTAAATCTGCATTCAGCAAATGTGTTCTGCATTTCAGTACAGGTATTTTAATGATTTGATGCCAAGGGCTGGCGGTGAAAATCTATGGACCCAACGGTCACCATTTCATCTTGACCGACTTCACGAGGGTTGCTATAGGAGCAGACACCCCCTTAAAGGGGGGGCAATGGGGGGCCAATCCCAGCCCACCTATGAAAGTCTCTTAATATTTATCTAGCCCGACGCGTCTGATCTCCAATTATGGATATATAACACTGTTTTATAGATATAGATAAGGTCAAGAAACATGAATTTTTGAATAGTTGTGTGTAGAAAGTGAAGGATTGTGAGAAGTATTTAAACATGAAGTATCTTCGTAAGAAGTCTCTTCGTAGCACAACAAATGTAATGAATTACATAATACACACCAAAAACCGCAGCAGCGAGAGGTGGGACGAGCCAATGTATGAGGGATTCCAACTTAGCAAGTTAGAAGCTAACCTACTCTGCTATCCTACCTAAGCTATCCTACTCTGATCATACTTAACGTATATATTTAGAGACAACATGAGAATAAAATACGTTGTTAATAAGCAGGATGCTCAGAAAAGCCAGTACCGATATTTATAAATGTACTAAAGAAAATTCAGTTTAAAATATAGAAATTGTAGTTTAATGAAAAGCTTGAAACCTTGACTCTTCAATGAGTCGTTTGTGATCAGTGATTACCTTGCTCCAGTAACTCAAGTTTCCCCTCTTATAAGCAATCCACCCATCGCTCCCTCCTCACAACCCAGTGCAATTCTTCGTATTAGTTCCTGTGATTCAAGAACTATCTTAAGAACAGACACCCAGGCCACGCATCTGAAAATTAACTTACGACGTTTCGGTCCGTGTTGGACCATTATTAAGCCGAGTGGTCCTGGACGGCTCGAAACGTCGGCACTTCCTTTATTTTCAGATGTGTGGGCTGGGGTGTCTTATTTTCAACCAAGTTATTGTGACTTGCTGTCTGCATAGCTCTGAATAACCCGTAAGACCAGAGACATATGATACTGAATGCCAACCCCGCACCTTCACATATCCACACCCAGTTTGAAACACTGCCCGCATTCGAACCCTGGAGCGGTCTTGAACGACTGGGCGCCGATTCTCCACCTTTCGTCCCTTTTTCACCCAGCTGTGATTGTGGACCTGGTTGTAAATTGATTAGTAGGCTCTGTTCTAGAATAAACCAGTAGGGTAAGGCATAACTTTAGCGGAGGGGAGGTGAACTCTGACCTTGCTAACAGTCTGAAATCTTCTGCTTCTATGTAAAAATAAGTGTCATAAACGGTGCCATAATATGCTCCAGACATCAATGGCAGGGTATGCTCCGAGTACCAGAGTAGTCAGTCGACTGTTGTGGGTTGCACCCTGGGTGGAGTCAGTCATTAGGGTGACCTTGGCAAATCTGTTCCAGGCTTCCTGTCCCAGACAGCGGGACAACATCACGGCAACACTTGTAAGTCACTCTTGCGTATAATCACGTGTCTATATTAAAGGTATCATACCGCAGACTGGAGTGATGATAGTAACCAATGGTAGCGCGGCCGCTTACACAACCACTGGAACAACCTATCATCAAGTCTGACTTCTACTAGTTTTTGCTGTTCCTCAGAAATGGTCATAAATGTGTGTCGTTTGTTTGATGAGGAATGGCGGTCATTGTCAGACCAGGACCCCCCCCCCCCATCCCCTAAGACACCCGTGCCAGGCCTGGCCCCTCCCCTAAAACACCCGTGCCAGGCCTGGCCCCTCCCCTAAAACACCCGTGCCAGGCCTGGCCCCTCCCCTAAGACACCCGTGCCAGGCCTGGCCCCTCCCCTAAAACACCCGTGCCAGGCCTGGCCCCTCCCCTAAGACACCCGTGCCAGGCCTGGCCCCTCCCCTAAGACACCCGTGCCAGGCCTGGCCCCACCCCTAAGACATCCGTGCCAGGCCTGGGACACCCGTGCCAGGCCTGGCCCCTCCCCTAAGACACCCGTGCCAGGCCTGGCCCCTCCCCTAAGACACCCGTGCCAGGCCTGGCCCCTCCCCTAAGACACCCGTGCCACCCGTGCCCTGGCCCCTCCCCTAAGACACCCGTGCCAGGCCTGGCCCCTCCCCTAAGACACCCGTGCCAGGCCTGGCCCCTCCCCTAAGACACCCGTGCCAGGCCTGGCCCCTCCCCTAAGACATCCGTGCCAGGCCTGGCCCCTCCCCTAAGACACCCGTGCCAGTCCTGGCCCCTCCCCTAAGACGACCGTGCCAGGCCTGGGCACTCCCCTAAGACACCCGTGCCAGTCCTGGCCCCTCCCCTAAGACGACCGTGCCAGGCCTGGACCCACCACTAAGACACCCGTGCCAGTCCTGGCCCCTCCCCTAAGACACCCGTGCCAGGCCTGGCCCCTCCCCTAAGACACCCGTGCCAGGCCTGGCCCCTCCCCTAAGACACCCGTGCCAGTCCTGGCCCCTCCCCTAAGACACCCGTGCCAGGCCTGGCCCCTCCCCTAAGACGACCGTGCCAGGCCTGGACCCACCACTAAGACACCCGTGCCAGGTCTGGCCCCTCCCCTAAGACACCCGTGCCAAGTCTGGCCCCTCCCCTAAGACACCCGTGCCAGGCCTGGCCCCTCCCAGATGGCCTTCAGACTAGGTATAACTTTTACCTTGTTGCGTCTCTCTATATAAATATCGAAGTATGTGGTTCGGATATCAGACCACAGCTAGCATTTATCCTGAGATGAGCAGCCCTTAGCCAGTCAACATGAAAGTGGTAAGCTTCTTCAATTTACTACTTGTTAATGAGATCATTTATACCACTGTTAAAACATGTGTAATTTGATTTAGAAAGTGTTTGAATGACTGGGTAGGCTGGTATTCTGATGTAATAAGATATGTCTCCAATACAAACACGTTCCCTAGAATTAATACAAAGCAAATTGAGGTCAACAATATCGGGGTCATTCTACAGTGTGAGAGAAGGAACACTGTATACAGCTGTGTGTCTAGGACAGTGGTTCTCAATTGTGGTCACCCCGGTGCTCTCTCGTGTGTATATGGTCCAAGGTGGTTCTAGTGTGTGTGTATATATTTCTTGGTGGCTCTAGTGTGTGTGTATATATTTCCTGATGGCTCTAGTGTGTGTGTATATATTTCCAGATGGCTCTAGTGTGTGTGTATATATTTCCTGGCGGCTCTAGTGTGTGTCTATATATTTCCAGATGGCTCTAGTGTGTGTGTATATATTTCCTGGTGGCTCAAGTGTGTGTGTATATATTTCCAGGTGGCTCAAGTGTGTGTGTATATATTTCCAGGTGGCTCAAGTGTGTGTGTATATATTTCCTGGTGGCTCAAGTGTGTGTGTATATATTTCCTGGTGGCTCAAGTGTGTGTGTATATATTTCCTGGTGGCTCAAGTGTGTGTGTATATATTTCCAGGTGGCTCAAGTGTGTGTGTATATATTTCCTGGTGGCTCAAGTGTGTGTGTATATATTTCCAGGTGGCTCAAGTGTGTGTGTATATATTTCCTGGTGGCTCAAGTGTGTGTGTATATATTTCCAGGTGGCTCAAGTGTGTGTGTATATATTTCCAGGTGGCTCAAGTGTGTGTGTATATATTTCCTGGTGGCTCAAGTGTGTGTGTATATATTTCCAGGTGGCTCAAGTGTGTGTGTATATATTTCCTGGTGGCTCAAGTGTGTGTGTATATATTTCCTGGTGGCTCAAGTGTGTGTGTATATATTTCCAGGTGGCTCAAGTGTGTGTGTATATATTTCCTGGTGGCTCAAGTGTGTGTGTATATATTTCCAGGTGGCTCAAGTGTGTGTGTATATATTTCCTGGTGGCTCAAGTGTGTGTGTATATATTTCCAGGTGGCTCAAGTGTGTGTGTATATATTTCCAGGTGGCTCAAGTGTGTGTGTATATATTTCCTGGTGGCTCAAGTGTGTGTGTATATATTTCCAGGTGGCTCAAGTGTGTGTGTATATATTTCCTGGTGGCTCTAGTGTGTGTGTATATATTTCCTGGTGGCTCAAGTGTGTGTGTATATATTTCCTGGTGGCTCAAGTGTGTGTGTATATATTTCCAGGTGGCTCAAGTGTGTGTGTATATATTTCCTGGTGGCTCAAGTGTGTGTGTATATATTTCCAGGTGGCTCAAGTGTGTGTATATATATTTCCTGGTGGCTCAAGTGTGTGTGTATATATTTCCAGGTGGCTCTAGTGTGTGTGTATATATTTCCTGGTGGCTCAAGTGTGTATGTATATATTTCCTGGTGGCTCTAGTGTGTGTGTATATATTTCCAGGTGGCTCAAGTGTGTGTGTATATATTTCCAGGTGGCTCAAGTGTGTGTGTATATATTTCCAGGTGGCTCAAGTGTGTATGTATATATTTCCAGGTGGCTCTAGTGTGTGTGTATATATTTCCAGGTGGCTCAAGTGTGTGTGTATATATTTCCAGGTGGCTCAAGTGTGTATGTATATATTTCCTGGTGGCTCTAGTGTGTGTGTATATATTTCCTGGTGGCTCAAGTGTGTGTGTATATATTTCCAGGTGGCTCAAGTGTGTGTGTATATATTTCCTGGTGGCTCAAGTGTGTGTGTATATATTTCCTGGTGGCTCAAGTGTGTGTGTATATATTTCCTGGTGGTTCTGGTGTGTGTATATATTTCCAAGTGCTCTAGTATATATAATCCAAGATGGTTCCACTGAATAAATATTCCAAGATGGCCCTAGTGTGTATAAATATATATATTCCATTTGTATATATTCTAAGATAGTTCTAGTGTACATATGTTCCAAGGTAACTAACATTAGGCTACATTTATACTGGGTACAGGGTGCAGGTGGTACAATCTTTAGACCAGAGCTTTCAAGGGATTTCTGGAACCTCTTGTTGTGGAGACATGTTCCCAGTGCATGTCAGGTGAGGAATGATTACTGATGGAGTGATGTTCTTGAGAGTGATAGTCTGAGGGGGAGCTGCCAGCTGGGCTCAACGTCTCAACACACCAGAAGAAATATGGAGCACAGTGGTAGGCCTATTGGCAGAACATGACTGGGAACCCTCATTTATGCCTCATCATATCTAGTCCTATTCATATAAGTCATCAGCGAATCAACAACAAGCATTACTGTCCTACCTTTCTCTGTGGCGACGTCCACGTTTGGTACCTTTCCGTCCCAGCTGAAATTCAGCTGGAAATCTGAGAAGGGTTACTGTCTTAATCACTGTTTCTAGTTTCTCTTAGTTGATCTTTAGATCCTCTTTATGTCCACAAATATCCAGCTCTCCTGGTGAATATCCTCGTGTCGCTGTTGTTTACCTCGCCGCCTCACATACTTTTCTAACACTTAACACTCTTGTAAGGCACTTCACTTGCTCTCTCAGCCTGCCAGTTTGACCTAACCACTACTATAGAGAGCTTGTAGTGTGCTTGAGGCGAGGTCCACCACGTGTGTCGCCGTTATTAGGAAATAATCAGCTAGCGAGAGACAGCCACGTTGAGAGCCACGTGTACCTGACCAGACACGCCGACGCCCTGGTCGCGTTCATATGTGCTCTACATTTAAAAAAATCTATTTTCTAACATATGTATTGTATTTTGTGTATACTTAGGTTCAGTGTAGGTTTGGCTTGGTGTCTTGGTTCTGCTGGATTTTGCACTTAGTGGGTGAAACATTGAGAAAGGTGTAATTTGAAGATTTAAAGTGAAGAAAAAGTTCGAACGTCATGAGTTGTGTCATGTGTAAAGTGTTTACATATCAGTTTACAAACAGGAAGTTTGGCAGGGTGATTAAGGAGCATATGGTCGTGGTTTACAAGGACGGGCTGGACGTCTCGTGTTGCAGATGCCGTCTTCCGGTTGTTAATGAAGTTGGGTCCGGTGGGGAACCTTGAGAACGCTTTTTTTACCATAACCAATCCATTACCAGGCTACAGCCCCTCCTCATTAACAGTGATCAAATGCTCGTTACTTTTGCCACGAAACGCCGTTTATTAATTAAAATGTTTTTACACATGATTCACAACTGATGACGTTTGAACTTTCCATTAACAGTGCGCTTCACTCTCTTCATGTGTTCGAATCGGTTTTTCATAAAAACCAAAACACGTAACTTCACTATTCCTAACTGTTTACACAATAATAATATACATAATTTATAATTTATATTTGAGAAAGTATAGTTTTTGGTTACACAGTTCAAGTACGTTTATTGAGACAATAAAATACACAGTATGTTAAAATGGACGAAAGATTGGTAAATGCAGTTTAATTATAAAAATTGTGTGGTTCTGAACCTTGGTAACGATAACAGTTATCAGATATATACTTGTATATGTTGACATTAACAAATCTGAATGTGAAAAAGTTGTAGGTGTCATGATTGTTAGGGATATTAAGGTAGAAAATATATGTATAAATTTTCGAAATAACACAAATAAGATACTAGGATTCACATCTAAAGATACTAGGATTCACATCTAAGGATACTAGGATTCACATCTAAAGATACTAGGATTCACATCTAAAGATACTAGGATTCACATCTAAAGATACTAGGATTCACATCTAAAGATACTAGGATCACATCTAAAGATACTAGTATTCACATCTAAAGATACTAGGATTCACATCTAAAGATACTAGGATTCACATCTAAAGATACTAGGATTCACATCTAAAGATACTAGGATTCACATCTAAAGATACTAGGATTCACATCTAAAGATACTAGGATTCACATCTAAAGATACTAGGATTCACATTTTAGAAGTGCTATCAATTAGTCATTTAATGTGTTTTTTCAAAATTATCTTGCTTTTGCTAGTCCTCATTTAGATCATACAGTTCAATTTGGGTCACTGTATTATACAAGAGATATCAATTCACCTGAATAATTACAGAAACAATTAGTGATTGTCTCCAAATCAATAAACAATTCCTAACGTTCGGCATTATGTTTATTGTTTGCGATGTGTGTCTATATATGTATGAACACGTTGTACTGAACGGGGTGAGAATAGCTTGAGCTACCTCATCCCTTTGTGTGTATTTTACCTCAATAAACTTATTTCAATTTCAATTCCATTACAGTCGTGGGTGACTGCTGTCTGGTGCGCCATGTTGGGCTTGGCCCTGTCCAGCCCCGTACCTCAGCCAGACCCTCAAGGATTCTTCCCTGGCCAAGGATTCTTCCCTGGACGAGGCTGTCGAACTCGACGTCGTTGTAACTTTCGTAGTGGCTTTGGAGATGGCTTCGGTAATACCTTCGGTGGGTTTGAAGATTATCTCTTTGGAATTGGTTTTGGCGGTCCTGGCTTTGGTATATTTGACCAGGGCTTACGACGGCCCTTTGGTACTGGTCTGGGACGGCCCTTTGCTGATGTCGGTGCTGGACGACGTGGAACTGGTGTAGGTTTGGGTGTTGGGCAACGTGGTAGGCCTACTGGTGCGAGTCGACCTTTTGCTAATGGTGTGGGTCTCAATCTTGGGCAACGAGGTAGGCCCACTATTGTGGGACGACCAGGTGCAGGACGACCAGGTGTTGGTGTGGGACGACCAGGTGTTGGTGTGGGACGACCAGGTGCTAGTCATGGACGACCAGGTGCTGGTGTGGGACGACCAAGTGCAAGTGTGGGACGACCAAGTGCAAGTGTGGGACGACCAAGTGCAAGTGTGGGAGTCGGAGGTCGTGGCGGAGGTGGTGCGGGCATTGGTGGTGGCGGAGGTCACCGTGGCTAGTGTGCTAGGCTTCCCACCATTGGTACTACATTGTTTCAGAAAATGGAACACACGCCTAATTGTTATTTATATTTATTTAATACTTTTAAGGGCGTTTTTGTAATAAAACCGAGCTAAATCCTTGAAGTTTAATTATACCATAATAACTATTATCAAAAGATTTAACAAGCTTGAAGTGCACTTTCCTCTGACGCTGCTGGTATTATAGATATCTAGCATAGGCTCACCTGGCTTACTAGAGAAGGTACAAATTGCATAGTAGGTTATGAATAAAATAAATATTTTTCAAGCCATTGTACCGGCACAAGACAGTTAAGTGAAATTTAGCAATACTGTAATGTTTACTAACAATTTATTATTTATCCTGATCAAATATTGGCCTTTACTGTAGTCCTATGTACTTCCAGAATTACAAAGCTCCAACGAATTTTATATATTTTTAAATCTGAAATGACTGGAATTTTGTTGATGACCAAAGGATTTTAGCAATGAAATGCGCAATATGGTAGTTGCGCGTTAGATTGTAACTAGTATCTATGATCTTCGTTTCTATGATACCCGAGATATATTCTGCTGTAATCCACAAGTTAGGAGTAAGCATTAGCTAGTGAATCAATATTCACAACATTTCATTGTGTTCAGGTTCAGTGTTTCCAAGGTAAGAGTATTGTAGATGGTGGCTCACGACAACTGTTGGATCGGACGTGATAAATGTCCAGTTGAGTCGGGTCCGAGCGCTGTGTCCTGAGGCAGAGCGGGTCATGGCCGCCCACGAAGGCCGGAGAGCTGCTCTACAGCCATGTTCAACCTTCCTGACGTAGACGCAGGTCAGGCTTCCTGGCTAGAGGAGGCTACATATTTACTATGACTCGTACTATAAGTGTAGGGAAATGGTGGACTAACTACTATTCCCAGTCAACACTCCTAGGCTTGTCACAACCTGGATCTCTGATACTCGGGTAAACACTGCTAGACTATATATATTAAAATGATCAGTTGATGTTTTCATTAGGCCAAAATGCGTTATCCATTACACTTAATAAATCTCTCTCTACTCTTGGAAGCTTCTAATATAAGTAGAAGTGCCACGTCCAAGAGGACACATTACACCACAGTACAGACTAGGCTGGCTCAAGGCAGCGCCGCCCGACCTAAAAGGTCACCCGCACCCCCAAGTCTACTTTCAGGTTGCTCTGAAATATTAAAATATCATTATTGAGAATGTAATAATTTTTCTGTCAGTTGAATTCACTTGTTTGTAATCACAGTTTGTCTCAGTCCCTCGTATACAGGTTATATATAAACTGTTAGTTTAGTTAATATAAATGCCTAATCGCGCTCGTTTAAGAGGATGTGTTAATCTTTTGTTTGCAAATATTATCATACATGCAAATGGGTTAATTTTTTGTTTTAGTCCTGGAGTCACTTCATGGACGTTGGCAATCTTGTTAGTGAAACTGACTTTTTTTATATATATACAAGAGTGCTTACATTCTTGTACAGCCACTAGGACGGATGCCATTTCGGGTAAGTCCTTAATCCTAATTTTCACACACACATCCACAGGAAGCAGCCCATGGCAGCTGTCTAACTCCCAGGTACCTATCTTCTGCTAGGTGAACAGGGGTATTAGTGTGAAAGAAACTGCCCATTTGTTTCCGCCTCCGCCGGGGATCGAACCCGGACCCCTTAGGACTATGAACCCCGAGCGCTGTCCACACATGGACAGTCAGTTTGGCCTGACGAGCCAAACTGACTCCGTCGCCGCCATGGCCACAATGTCCCGGGGGGGGGGGAGGGGAGGGGCAATATTCTATGGCATTACATTCAAGATTCTCCGGTGTAATAATAAGACTCGTCTACCATTACCTCCTCCATATTGGCTGTTAGACCATGACATATCTGGCCTCCACGCTATCTCGCTACGTGTCATTCATAGCAGCAACATGCTCTCATAACCCCTGGTCGATGTTTTTTCTGATAACATCAACATGCCATGTTGTGTCATGACCACATGTAACTGAAACTTTCACGAACTTGAATTATATGCCGCAGTGGCAAGTTTTTCTATGACACCAAGAACAGTGACTTCTAAGCGGCTGACCTCGGATTCTCGATTGGCTTTTGTTAGACTGTTCTCTTAAGGCCTATGAACTTGGAGGGTTAATAACGCCACCACAATCGCTTACTGACCAGTAAGTGTCTGAGGATTTCAACGCCAGAGAGGTACTGATCAGGCCATTTATCAGCTGGCCTGAGGGCTGAGTGGACAGCGCTCGGGGTTCGTAGTCGTTAGGGTTCGGATTTGATCCCCGGCGAAGGATGAAACAAATGGGCAGAGTTTCTTTCACACTGATGCTCCTGTTCATCTAGCAGAAAATAGGTACCTGGGAGTTAGACAGCTGCTATGAGCTGCTTCCTGGGAATGTGTGTGTGTGAAAATTAGGATTAAGGACTTGCCCGAAACGCTATGCGTGCAACCCGTCCTCTTAAAAATAACGTCACTTTTGGCTCGTATGCGCGATATGGCTAAATTTGGACGTAATTTGAAATGAAATCGACTCACAAAAGTGACATTCTGTTCCGTTTTCTATTTGAGTCGTCCGGCGTACGCGCAGAGGTTATAAGAGGACTCTTTAAATTCACGTTTTTCATATCGTTTTGAAACTTTATGAGAATTTCCTGCCCACCTAACCTATCAGAGGACCCTTAACTTACTGTTGTTGAAAACAAAAATCCCAAATTTATTTTAATTTTTTTTTCATTTTCAAATTACGTCCAAATTCGGCCATACGGGCAAACGGCCAAAAGCGACGTTCTTTTTAAGAGGACAGGTTGTTAAATAGAATGTAAGAACTCTTGCATGTGTATATATACACACACACATTTACTATCAATAACCTGAAAGGTTAGAACACGTCACCAATTTTCAAAACATAAAATATCCATCTGCTCCAAGTCATTTAAGCTTAAAAATTAATACTTATTCCAGGAGCCTTTCAATGGTTTCATCAACATCCTAGGCTATGATGCATAACCAGACTGACCAAGTTGACCAATGCAGGCTTGCAAGAGCGGGGCATGTGGTCTTATATAGCCTTTAATGACGTAGGGACAAAGTCTTGTCTTGAGTCTTAACATCTGTGTCAAGGAGATTCTCAACTTGATCTTTTGTAAAGTTATACTAGCAAGGGAAGGAAGCACGAGGAGAAAGGTCTGGGCTCAGTAGCTTCCATCCTGCGTCTAATGTGAGATGTAAGGTCGACCTTAACCATGGTACAGCACGTCTTTCACTCATTACCCAGTAATCACCCCTGTAATTATTGCGTGTTGTGCCTCGGCAGTAACCACGATCTTCCTCTCAGGTGCCTCGTTTGGTCGATGATTGATAAAGACTAAGCCGCCCAAAAGGTGGCACGGGCATGAATAGCCCGTAATCGTTTGGTCTATAGGTGCCTGGTTTTATGAGCGTTTGTTGCTAATGGAAGCACCTCGTCCGGTCTATAGTCACAATAAAGGACCACTATTTGTGGGGTAGAAATAGCCTAAGCTACTCTATCCCTTTGAGATGTAATTCTTTCTTGTCTCAATAAATACTCTTGAAGGACCACTGTGGTTCTGTAGAATTACCTCCCGGTAATTTTTTTTACCTCTTGGTACTCACCTACTTGTGCTTGCGGGGGTTGAGCTCTGGCTCTTTGGTCCCGGCCTTAGTGTGCGTGTGTCTATGTGATGAGTGTATTGTGCACAAAAGCTAGTGGTGTGTGTCTGTGTGATGAGGCACAAGAGCTAGGCAGCAAGTCAAACAAGATTCATCATGAAAAAATTTAGTTTTATTACAGAATACCACAACACACTCGATGTCCTGTTGCACGTTTCATATTCAAGACAAATGTCACAATCTGTGTCAAGCAAGAAGGTTGTCGCTAGTTCAGCAGTGTTCTCGGTTGTTCAACAGAACATGAATAACTCATTGTTCACCAGGACATGGATGTCATCCCTGTGGCTTGTGACTACGGATTGAATCAATAGGAATAATGCTTCCTTGTCCTCCAGAATGGCTCCCGCCTTGGCTAACCAACTGGCCACCTTGACTGCCAAAGCCACCGACACCACCATGATTGCCAAGGCCACCAACACCACCATGATTGCCAAAGCCACCAACGCCACCAGGATTACCAAGGCCACTCACACCACCATGACTGCCAAAGCCACCGACACTTCCAGGATTACCAAGACCACCCAAACTACCATGACTGCCAAAGCCTCCAACACCTCCAGGATTACCAAGGCCACCCACACTACCATGACTACCAAAGCCACTCACACCACCATGACTGCCAAAGCCACCCACACCACCATGACTGCCAAAGCCACCGACACTTCCATAGCCACCAAACTGGCTGCCATGACTTCCTGGTCTACCAAACTGGCTGCCATGATGACCCCCGTGACCACTGAATCCGCCAGTACTGTGATATCCTCCCCGGTGATGAGAACTCCGTCCTCGTTGATAGGAGTGGGGCGCTGGGTCAGGTGTTGCAGAGGTCGTCCCCAGCACGACACTGACGACAACCGTCGCCAGAAGCAACTGTAAAGAAACACCATCATGAGACCTGCGTACGATAATTAGTTTATATATTTTTTATACATCCTATACATGCACAAGTATATTTAAATCTTATCCATGCGTAAATAGATAACATGCAAAAGGAATAATAATCAATAATAACTAATGAATCAGAATCGTGTGTTTAGGCGCCAGCGAGGCCAGCGAACACCAGGCTATCACTCGTGGTATTCGGAAAGTTGGAGACTGCCACATTGATCACAAAGTGCTCTAACATACTTAACCAGATAAAGTAAGTATTCAGCAATCTTCTGAAGCCTTAAGGCTACGCACTGAAATATTCAATATTCAATCTCTAAGTACCTAAAAATATAATTTAGAAGAACAGAGTCACAGATCCATTAATGCCTCCCTGTATTTAACAGTCTCCGTGGTGTAGTGGTAAGACACTTGCCTGGCGTTCCGCGAGCGCTATGTCATGGGTTCGTATCCTGGCCGGGGAGGATTTACTGGGCGCAATTCCTTAACTGTAGCCTCTGTTTAACGCAACAGTAAAATGTGTACTTGGATGAAAAAACAATTCTTCGCGGCAGGGGATCGTATTCCAGGGACCTGCCCGAAACGCTACGCGTACAAGAATGTAACAACTCTTGTATATATCTCAAAAAAAAAAAAAAAAAAAATTAATCGAAGCTGTTTTCTTACCATTTTCAATATGGTGAGATGCAAAAATGTCACCATTGGCGACATTTCTCACCAAAGAAAAATGTCGCCAACTAGCCTATGAATTAGCCACCGCCATAGACATACCTAGAGTCAGTGAGAGAAAATCCTTATCATGGCATAATTGAAAATAAATATGAAATAAAAACTTCACCGGATATCCCGTGGCCTCACCACGTGCAGCTTCTTTTAAACGGCCAAGATCCATCAAGCGACCACTTACAAAACCTGTACATCTTTACTCTATCATTGCGACTTCGTTTGTATTTATTTAACACTTTAAGAGCTCCGAAGCGCTATAGGAGGCTGTCAATCGGCCCAATTGCAACAATAACATTGGGTTGCGAAGATTTGAAGCTCGTAAAAAGTTTAATTGCTGTAGACTGAGGTACCATGAAAGATGTACAGGCTTCTTAAAAGTAGACACGTAAATGGTTGATGGCTGGCCACTACCCTCCGGGTGCTTGCCCTTGACACACGAATCTAATTCACACTTGACAGTGTAACCTGTCTTCCCATCCACGACAGGATTGGACAGCAGTTCCTCCAGAACCAGTGTTGCGTACACTACACCTTCATTACTTCAGATTCTAAGAGGAAGACATCTCATGTGCCACACCCGCTCCACTTTTCCCTCTTGAAAACTAGTTGAACTTGATAAAATAATGCCGAAGCTGGTCCTGCGAGACTCTTAAATCCCTTGGATGCTCTTTCAGCCTAGCCCTGGCTGTTTGTCTGCCGCAGGGCAGTAATATGTCAATAAATCCAACAAAATTTAATTGATATATACGACCATGTTAAATTTACACTGTCCCATCTATCATCATGCAGGAAGAGCTATATATCTATATATAATAACAACGACTGCTTGTTCTGTGGGATGTATTCATTGTGCTCGGTCTTTCAGTCTCAAGGCATCCAATGAGTATCTAAAAAATATTATTGTATTGAATCTGTGACCTTGATAAGTGTGTTAATTGGATATGAAACTTTTTTGTAAACTTGAATCCATTGCGATTGTTCCCCTCGCTTATTTGGGTCAGCGGAATTTTCGTGTTACTGCCGAGAAATTTAGTTGTCATTGTTGGATTGTGGTATAGAGAGTTTATGTTGGGGTTTGGCCTGGGATGTTGTAGGAAGGTGGCGTTGTGGTGGGCATGTAGTAGGGAGGTGGCGGTGTAGTGAGATGTGTTGCGTTGTTGTGGAGCGGGAGTTAAGGAGAGGTCAAAGTTGTTTGACGGGTTTGCAGAGTGGGGAGTGGGAGGGTGTCAAGTGGGGTAATAGTGGGGGGGGGGAGGGAGACGCGGTCAGGGGCTGGTGGGAGACAGTCAAGGATGGGTGGTTGTGTAGCTGGAAATTCAAGTGAACCGAAGGAATGTAAGGACATAACTTTTGCCTTGTACGGGTAATCAAGTGGAATGCACTGAAAGAAGTCGTGGAAGCCACCTCTATCCACAACTTTAAGGCAAAATTCGCAAAGTATTGGAACGTCAGAATAATTAAATTGTGACGCAGCAGGTACAAGGCAGGTAGGCCGGGCACAGAGCTAGAGCTCATGCCCCATAGACAGTGTTAGGCAAGACGGTCAATTCGAGGAGGGATGAGTAATTGTGGCAGAGATAGTCAGGGGTGAAGAGTGATTCGGGGGGGGGGTAGAAATAGCCTAAGCTACTCTATCCCTTTGAGATGTATTTCTTTCTTATCTCAATAAACATACTTGAACTTGAACTTGGTGACGAGAAGGAAGGCAGTGTCAGAGGATGGGGCTGGTGATTGTGTAATGGATTGCGATAGTGGTTATATTATTTTACGATTGGTAATAGCGAAACATGTATATTATTGGTATTTTTATTTGACAATCCCTTACTTTTGAGGCGAGGGCTAAACGGCTAAAATAATGGCGTGCAGCTAAACGTTCCCTTGTATATAAATTCTAGTAGTGTGATAAAAGGCTAGTATATCCTAGTGTAACACTATATCGTTAGCTCCTCTGTTGCTCAGTCGATGTCAGACACGCTGACGACACTAAGATTCACTCGGAATGAATCTTGATTCGTGAATCGGGTAGCTGTAGCTGGCATTTCCAGAGCAAAGAGCGGTTCTCATTTTATGAAACTGAGCGTTACAGGACCCTCCATTACAAGCGAATATGACACTTTACACAGCCAAATCAAATCAGTCGTGGAAGCATTCACAACCATGACGGGAAACCGCTTCACCTGGAATTAAATACCAATAAAATCTATATATTTCACGTTAAACAACATTCGAGTAGAAACCCACCTTCTTCATGGTGAGTGGCGAGAATATTCTTAGCCCAGAGCAGAGGACGAGTCTGGTTAAAATTTTCCTTCGTCCTCTATTTATCCTGCAGCAGGGGGAGAGGAGGGTCCCCACACCCCATATCTCGTACTGGGGGGGGGGGGGGGAAGAGTTGCCAGCCAGATGAAGTATTTCAATTTTCAACTCTTACGAACGTACTTGTTCATCTTTCCAGTCATAACAAGATTGTTTTCAGTTTAAAATGCGCTACATCAGCTATTATAATTCATCAATTTAAACAAATATGGAAAAACGTTGATTACATTTGGGTTAATATAAAACTGCACCAGAATACCTTGTTACGTCACTGCTGGGGACGCCGGCGAGGCAGCCCTTGTACTGACAGTGATGTATATATGTAATTCTTTTATTTGTACTCATTACAGACCAGTAGCACAGTGTTTACCTCCTGTAAGTGCTTCACTACTTCCCCGCCCGCTCTCTCCACTAACATCTGTACTGCTTGTCTGCGGACAAGTGGTATGCTTATATAGACTACCCATAGCAAAGTGGATAGACCTTCTCCCTCACACGCGTGGGGTCCGTGGTTCGAGTCTCCTAAAGCTCAGCTGAATGGACGTTGCATACTTTCAACAGTGAGACATCTCTTAGGGGATCAGTACTAAATATAGGATCAACCAATATACATTACGGGCTCACCATAGCCCGTGCTACATGGACACTTCGTTTTGAGTAGCTAAATCTAAAACAACAATATATGACACTATCGGTAACCCTGGACGACTCAAGGCCACGCTACCTACGTCTTGGTATTCCCTGTAATCCCATCTATGGTATTTCCATCCCTCCGGATGGGCCTCCGTAGCGTCCATCCGGAGGGAGGTCGGTCCCTTCTGCAGGTACCAAATACAATTAGGGAAGCCCTGCAATGGTATAACTTGATTTAGTAAATACTTCGCGTCACACAGAACTTTACATATATCTACATTCAGTAAACTTCCCATCATAGAGCTTGTTTTAGGTAAAAACTTGTCGATTTTGTTCGGCAGAAAACCTGCTTCTAGAACCTTAAAAGGCGATCTGGCAACTTTACACTGAGAAAACTTGCATGTTTGAGTTTCGTGGTTCAGGTAAATGTCTCGAGATTTATAGGTAGTTCTATACAGAAAAAAACTATAGATCTGTCAATTTTTGCCCGAGCGGAAACATGCTTATCTACGAGTACAGGAGTGCGAGAATAGACTACAGGAGTGCATGAGTGCGCACGAGTGAACTAACCTAGTTGTGTTCTTAATGTATTCCATTTATTAACTTTTCTGACAAAGTTCTTTCTAATGTGTCGCTCATTTGGGTAGGGTACTCAGCTTCCACCTGTGTCCCCTTGTACAAGTGCCACCCATGTCAAATAATCCATCCTTATCTATCCTGTCAATTTTGTATGTAATGATCATGTCTCCCCAAGCTCTTCCATTTTCTAGCGACATAAGGTGCAATTCACGCAGCCTTTCCTCGTAACTTACGCCTCTTAGTTCTGGGACTAGTCTGGTGGCAAACTTATGAACGTTCTCAGTGCGCAAGTGAGTGTATCAAGACTGGACACCACCCAGTGTCTTCACGGCCGCCGCCTCCAGCCTCCCACCATTGTAACCTCTGTAACTGGAATCTCTTACATGCTTTGCCTCCCTGTGAATATGATTTTGTCTGACATTTATGACTACATAAAGAAATAAGGTCAACGATGAAGTTAAATATGATAATTTGTGTTTAAAACCAATAGTCGGCCGGTGATTACCTCTGAAATATGGCAGACCAACCGTTGCTGCGTTATTCATCCTCGGTTTATTGTGCTACACATAATGGGCTCAGGAACTGACCCTTAATATTCCTTTAGCTAAGCAAGTTACCACATTAATAAACTAGTTTTAGTTAACATATACCCAAAAGCCTATTTACATCCTAGATAGCAAATAATGAGAGCATAATACCCATGCTCTTCATGCACCCATCCATGCTTCGGCTACAAGTTACAGTGGCAGTAGCCTAATACCAGAAGTTGCGAATTTTCGTTGTAATTCATAAACTTTGTAAATGTATGGCTTAGCACACAATAACATTCATTCAGAATATAGAAACCCTGCATATTGCTACATAGAACCGTATGGAAAATGCAAGTCTAGTTTGCAAACTAATGACAAAATATAACAATAAAAAAGAATAATTAGTCTACATGTAAAAGAATGTATGTAGCATAATGGTAGTTTAAATTACAGTACAGTAATAGTATTTTTCTGATTACTGGTACCTATAATTGCAGTTTTCAAGCAAATGTTAGAACATTTGTATATATTATTACTGTAAAGCCTATTATCACTGTTCCATTTGTTAAATTTGTTACACTGCTAAAGACTGTTCCATTTAAAAGTGAAAACAGGACTGAGGATACAAGATAACCATCACAGCAATATAGCAAAAGGTAGCATTGTGCAAGTGGACTACACGTCATACTAGCCACAAAGAGGGCACGCAAGTAATTATCAAAAGAAGGTGCCAAACCGACAAAGAGGGCAAAACATTACACTTCTGTAAGGAAAGGCACTGTAGACAAACATCCACAGAGGCAGAGCATTACTGCAAGTTCATAAATCAACACCAGTATACATAATTTTATAGAAACAGGTTTAAAGAAGTTATGGTGTTTTGAGTATCAAACGAGTTAAAAATTGTGATATAAATCTAGTATAATGAAAAATGTTGAAAAGGCGAGCGGTGGCACGAAAGCAGCAAACTTTTGAGCTGTTGCAGCAAGATAGTTATTATAAACTTACAAGGTTTTGAGACAAATTGTCTTATCACAGCACACAAGTTTCTGTATGGAAATGAACAAACTTCTCTTTCAGCATTGAAGGAGCTTTTTGCATTAGGAAGCAAGTGTTGGATCTTGTAACTGAAAGGTTAATTGTATACATTTTTACAAGTTCAGAAGAAGACTTTTTAACCTTTATACAAATTACCGATTCTTAGCTTTAAAATCACACTACCTCAGTGCACAGATAACATAGTACTGTACTATAAAAAATTGGAACTCTCTGAATGTGGACCAATAAAACAAAATTTTAATCTGATCTTTATAGATTATATGTATACTGTACATCAGTTCAGTAGATAATCAAGACTAATCAAAAATGTGTACAACACCATCTTAAGAAAACATTACAAGCTAAAATAACAATAAAACTGTACAAGAACATAAAGGTATTTTCATACTGTATATATCTTATGCAAGTTGACCTCTTTAAATTTGACATGTTTTATTTTTATATACTTTGCAAGGGCATAATGTAGAGGATGCCTTCAAAATCGGCAGAGTATCAAGTATTAATGTTGGATTTCAAATGGTGTATTGTTCGGCAGGAAATTACTTAAACTTCCAAATACAAACCATGACTGGACTGCACACTCAGACTTGTATCAAATTAATGCACATGCAAAGTTTACATTTAAGCAGCATCTTCAATTAGCCAAATTTCCGACGATCAACCAGCTTTATTTTCTCGCTGGACACATGAACAGCACACGCAAGTCTTAACTCCAACAACTACAATGGGAGAAAAAGTCAATTTTGTGGAGAAGAAAAAGGATACACAAAAACATGAGAATGAAGAATAAATAACTATAAGACTTCAGCATTGAGAAAGGGAAGTAAATATGGGACAAAAAAAAAAAAAAAATTGCTAAACAGGAAACTTAAAATGCAGGAGCCAAAGAGATCAGAAAAGGTAGGATAAACAGAGAAAATCCAAAAGGATCAAGTAGAAGATATGGGAGAAGAATGCAAGATGAACTAAGGAAACAGGAAAAGTTAATTTATGGGAAAACATACAAATCTGTAAATTACTGGTCCCTACATAAACCCACAGGAATATTATTAAATAAATCAGATATAGCTTTCTGCGCTGGCTGGAGCCTTCAGACTTTATACAGTCCCCCGACAGCTTAGCTCACATTTTTAACTGTGACCTAGGTACATTAATCGAAGCCAATTCAGAAGATTACACTTTCCAATGATAACTGCCTGATGAAAGGGAAGGTTATCTTATATTGGTTTCCTGGCATCCAATTTCGTAATAGCAATCAAAATGACTCGATGCTTTCTGTTAACCTTGGGGAAATTATACATTCGTTCTTTATATATTTTCATCACACGTTACAGAAAGTGAAGGCATAAAGCAAACTATAAATAATAATAAAACTAATAGGTATCCAAGCCTCTCAAAAAACAGAACAATTATTATAACATGAGGTGAAGCAGTAAACAGATCAATGTAAATTTAAATTAAATGCAGAGCATTCCAATTTAGTACTATATAATCTTCTCTCAATACCACCTCAAGGTAGAAGACCAAGTGATCTCTCGCATAATTACCAGCACACAAAAGTACAACTCTGTGTATTATCAATGTAATATACTGAACAAATCCATTAAGAATGACCAATGTAAGCTGCACGAATAATCACTGTTACTCTATACTGTGTTAAAAAATGTAGATCACCTAAATGTATGAGGTAAATAATGATAAAAAGTTATAAATATCAAAATTCAAAAATTGATTTAAATTCACTCAAAAAATTTGTTAAACTCAAAAACCAAACACCCAAAGAAAGAATGCACAAAACTGCTTAAATCACAGGTGCATTCTCCATAACATTGGTCCTATCCACCACTAACAGGAATGAGCACAAGGATAATAAAACCATTCCAAAATAACTTCTGAAATGAATGACTTCGGGTGTAGTGCAGTCATTCAATCAGAGAAGGCAATTTGTTTCTAACCACCAGCATTCAATTACCAAATCCAGTACGATCATCATCAGACATCACCCGACGCTTTAGGATATTGCCTTGGCTTCTGGGATAAATGTTTCCCAAACCTTAGTAATCTGTAAGAAAAGTATTACAATGAGGCTCATAGTGCTCTGAGTATTTCATATTTGAGGCCTGAATATTTATAGAATCAAGACTCATACAGTAGTGTACTTATTTTTAATATAAAAACAGAACTGCTTGCCAACTTAAAAAAAAAAATATATAACATTTTCATATATAGAAATGGTAGAAGGTAGAAAGGTTTCACGAAAATGAAGGTTTAAATGAAGGTTTCACTGGTAGAAATGGTTGGACTGCATCACCCCATTATTAGCATAATATTTGTATACTTTTAACATTAATCTAATCTTACCTGCTGTTGTGAGGTCATTAGTGCTTCCAAGTACTTCACTATCATGTCCTTAAAGTCTTTGACACGTATAACTTCAAACTGTTCCATCTCTTTCTTGATGGCACGAGAAATTCTTTCAAACTCTTCCTGACTTCTTTCAACCTTTACTTCCCACTGAAGAACAACAATTTTTTGTCAAACATTCACATGAAATGGTCAAAATTATACAGTATCGCTTGGAAATAAAGGTGTTAAATTGTATACTTTATACATAATGGTGTAAAGACTTGAACAGGAAGGCAATTAGTACAACAGAACATCTTTAAAACCAAAATGGATGGAGTCAAGCAATATACAGATTACAAAATATTTGGTTTATAAATACTGCACAGTTTAATTTCAATTATCCACTGCAGTAAGACCTGTTCCACTTATTAAAATTTTAGGTCACAATGTATTTTAGAAAACGAATATTTGAGCATAATTTGATTCTAAAATCTTACAGGAAAATATAGACTTTATTACATAATTCTATATTTTTACATGATTCATAGCAATTCTGAGCAATGCTATTTGGTTGCCCCCATAAGGCAAGATATACTTATCTGGATAAGGATCACAACAGTCGAGCAGATGACAGTCTCGGCACCACTGCAACAAGGGCAAGAAAGATGTTTGGGAGGCCACTGGAGGTAAGCTCAGTCCTACCCAGCATGACCAGCACAGGCACATTGGAACAAACAATTTTCAAGCCATATAAAATGTATCTCCATAATGACCCATGTGAAAATCAGTAAGAGCTCTGCCAGAGATTTTGTACGTCCCAATACCAAGAACCTCTACAGAGCACATCATGTCAAGAACAATATTCACTACCTGACCTCTGTATCAGTTTCAGTATATCAATTATAAACTCTACAAGATTGGCAAAGAGCCTTGAACAACATAAACAACTGCAAGCTGACCTACTGTGCGAGGATTAGAGGAGAGGGAACTGGGTTAGGACACTTAGCCAGAAATAAGGTAATCAAGACCAAACTGATCATAGTTGGGAAAAGTAGGATCACATGTCTCGGAAAGGTACCCAGCATCTTGAGGACAAAGCAATAGCTTCACTATTAGTGAGTAATACAAACACTTACCAATTTTCCTCTGCAAACATGGCATCCAATACATCTAGACCATGTAAAGAAGCCCCATATAGAGAACCCATGGCTCCATAACGATGCAGTACTCCACTTGAGGGATATTAATTATCAGTTATATTCACTGAAAAATTGGCTTTGTTTTCCTCCCAATCCATCCAATTTGGACAAAACTGACACAGATCATCTGCCAGCATATTCAACAGTAAGCAAACAAACTGTGGAGAGAATTAAATCTCTAAGAGCCCCCCTAGTGACCATACCTAGTGTCAACCATCTAAGATGAAGGGACCTGATTAAACAATGCATCACAAACACTACAGTAATTAGAACAAGTACTGTATATCATTATACTACAAGAAGGGTGCTACAACAGGTTGGATAGTATGTAGGAATGAAAAAGCTGGAAATAGCACTGACAAAGTAATTAGAGATAGCAATAACATTCAAATACAGTACATCAAAAGGTATGAAGTGAACGAGGAACTGGACATTTCTTAACACGAAGCGTAAGATATAATTTTAAATTCCTAAGAGAAAAAACTGAGCTGTGGCTGGTTGGATTACGCTGTAAATAGAAGCTAAGAAAGGACAATACAAACCAAACCCTGAATACATCATCTTACCTCAGCTACTTCCTCCTGGGCCTGTTGTACTTTATCCATTCGGCCAGCCAACTCGGCCTTGGCCTTAGCTTCACGTTTCTTGGCTAACATTGCCTGTGCATGTTGCCAGGTTTGAAAGGTCTTGACTCTCTCATGAAACACATCCTGTGTAACAGTGTGAAGCATTAATTACAACCAGGTACAGTGCACCAAGAAAATGACAAACATTGTCCCAATTTATAAACACACTGACAAATCCTCCATTAAACTACATAGTAGTGAAGCAGCAGATCACTAGAAAAAAGTAGTAAATCTAAATAAGAACATTTAAATGGACAGATAATTTAGCTTTCAACTGAGGTGGTCATGTGCTACACCACACACACACCCCATGATTTTTATGTTCTTACAACACCATCTCTCAATCATACAAAGGCGGACATTACAATACTTCATGCATCACACTGACCACACGTATTCCTACCATGGCATTCACTGCACCACCCACTTTCCTTGCATGACTGACCCAACTCTCAATTTGATTGCAAACATTCCTCTTATCACTCTCACATCCCAGGTACAGTATTTAAAGTCATTAACTGCATCTAGCAATTCACCATTTACGTAAGGATTCACAATTTCAAGTCACATTACTCAGCCAGTTGTCTGTGCCTTTCACCTACAACTGAAAAACCTATAGTCCCAACCAGACATTACGCAAAACAAAGCCCTGAAAATTCCAGAAACTCTTAGATATACTAAATTTAATAACATGTTCAAATATAAAAGGTATACAAATTTAAATTGGAATAAACATTAACACTTTCGATTATCTATGAACATAGTTTGTGCCAAATTCTTTAAAAAATAATATAAAAATATCTTGTAAGATGTTGTATGCTTTTTTCTGTTTTTAGTCAGATAAACAGTGCTTAAAGAATGAACCACCAAACATAGGAGGCAATTTTTTGTAACAAATCATCTACCAACCACTTGGGGTGGACGGTAGAGCGACTGTCTCGCTTCATGCAGGTCAGAGTTCAATCACCGACCATCCAAGTGGTTGGGCACCATTCCTTCACCCCATCCCATCCCAAATCCTTATCCTGACTCCTTCCAAGTAATGTACAGTATAGTCATAATGGCTTGGTGCTTTCCCCTGACAACTCCCTCCCTCCTCTTAATACATTAGGAGTTTCAGACAAATTTTAGTTAATTCAAAATTCTGAATGATGAAAGAAACCTGATAAAAAATACAGGTTAATTATAAATACAGAACATCAACAATCAGATGACAAACAACCAAGGAAACGACGGACACAAGTGACCCAAAATATTTTGCGATGAGCTGAACATGTAGAGAACACGTTGAATTGTAATAGAGCAATTAGCAAGCAGTGCCATGAAAAGCGGACTACCATACAGTAGAGGTTGGAGAGGCCAAAGGAGGAATGTTCAAACAGCATTTAGAAAAACTGCCTGGACACTCTTGTCACTCTTACTGATTAAGAGTTACAGAAGAAAAAGGATTAGATTCACAGTAGTTAGACAAAAGAATTTGCAGACATCCGAGATCACAAAACGTGGTAAAAACCCAAATGTAAAATCACCTTGACAGCTCCGATGAGTTGGATGTAATCTTTGGTTGTCTCACTCAGGAGATAGAAGTCTGCATCAGCCTATAAAAAAAGATAATCATAAAATGCTACAAAACAGCAAAAAATTGATTCAAAAGTACTGCAGATTTTGTGTACCTATTTGCTTATCACAAGTTTCAGAACAGGAAATTCAGCAAGGTTAACAGTGCTTTACCAAAAATTAATCCTACTACTAAAATATAATTAAACACAAACCCTACAGTCTGTCATTTGTGAATGTGCAATTTTCATTAACAATGTTGTAATTGGATAATGTTTATTCAAACATTCTGCAGATTTATTACTCTCAAATATTGTGTATTAAAATTGCAGGTGAGGAAATTACCACCACCACAAAAGCTTATCACATGAGAAACATTTTATCTGAAGAAACCTCCATGTTATACAAATTATCAAAGAAAAGGGAGATATAAAGCAATTACCTATTTTTTTTTATATTTACCAGAATAAACTCATCAATATCATCACTATCCTATTTTCCCACTTTCATAAGGTGAGGGAGGTATCAGCCAGAAGAAAAGGGTATCAACATGGCAAAAGATGGGTTAATTAAAAATATCTCGTCCATTAATTTTTATCATTAACACTAGATAGCATCACAGATCAAGTACCAACACACTCCAGCATCCTACCACTTCCTAACGCAAAGCAAAACATACCTGAGCATGGTGGATGGTCTGTCCTCTCTCTGTAGATTCGGCCAGCTGGTGAAGTGCTCTGCTAAGGGAAGAGTGCTCCTCTACACTACTTAAAACAGCTGCAGACTTTGCAAATGCAGCTGTACTGGTAGCCAACTCCCGACGATATGCCACCAAACCCTCCATGGCGGCATGAAGTTTGCGTAGTTGCGAGTCAAGGCTCTCAATTTGCTGTGTCTTTTCCTCAAACCACTGTTAGTATAGACAAAACATTAAACAATTTTATGATAACAGCATCAGTTAAAATTATTTGAGTCATACAAGAATATAACAGTTAAACACAAGGATGCTCAATCAATTTCAATTTGAATAGTAGTAATTAAATATATGAAAAATCTAACTTCTTATAAAACTAAATGAATTTATGCCCATTTACAATAGTACATTAACCTTCAGTATAACTAATTGGTTGTTACTGGATAACAAACATGTAGAGAGAATATTCCAAAAATACTTGAAACTAATCTTATATGTATACAGGTCAAAATTAGGATTCTTAAATTCAGCTAAGCATTGCTATGAACATTTCATATGAAAAAAATCAAGCATTATCATTCTTACAGTTACATCATTTCATTAATAAATAATATATTTTTAATTTCAAGCAATATAAATTATGTGGATAGAACTTTCATGCACCCTTAGGGTCTAGGGTCTTGTGTAAGTTTAGAGAATATTAACATTTTTAATTATTATTGTGAATGTATTTGAAACTTCATAAAGTTCAAAGGTTATTGTACCATTTAAATATTACAAAAAAATTATTAACTTGAGATAACTCAATTTTATGCATTTAATACTCATTAACTTTTCAAACTTTTCAAAATATCAAGAACATTTTGATCAATTCATCACTGATACAGAAATTCAACAAATGAGAACATTCATGTCACACAGCCAGAAATAAGAGATCCACATTGCACCAGTCCACTTGCACATTATTACTAAAAAAAAAAATAGCATAATTTACCTGTCCCTCAGTCTGAAAGCATGTGAAAAGGGCAAAAAAAAAGTGCATCTTAAGAGATATATAACCAATTTATATATTGGCATTGAAAACCAGGTACTAGCCTAAGAACACGTCCTAGCATGATAATGATAATCAAATGCCAACATAACAATACATTCTAATGTGGCTTTGGTAACTTGGCGCTAATTTAAGACTACATACACACACACACCCATGGTCTTGATAGGTGCTAGCCTAAGAACATGGTTCTAACAAACCTTAATAACCAAGTTCTAGCCAAAGAACATGTCCTTACATGGTCTTGATAATCCAATACTAGCTTACACACACACACACGTAGCCTAGATAATCAGATGCTAACCTAAGTGTCTTAACATGACCACTAGCAGCACTGTATCACATCATGTAAGATCAACAACATGACAACAGAGCAAACCTTGTTTGTGTATCATCTACTCCCTAGCCTAACCATGGCAATATTTGCATTTAGCTCCAGTGTATTTTTTTTTTAAACAACTTTGTCACAAGCATATTTGAAATGGTTTAAGAAAATGTTGTAAAATGTAATTCCTAAGACTACAAGCACTCTCAAAATACTAACATTTAAAAACACTGCTTATTACTACTACGGTGAAACTTAAATTTATACATAATGAAATCACAATAGCATGATGTATCTGAGAAAATCATTGGAGCAGAGCATTGGAACTAGACCAGCACCTGGGGAGACCCACGATGCTGATTCTACTCCACACAACCTTCTACATTCTCAGATAAATCTATACCTATTTTTTTTTTTATGGAGGAATGGATGGGTGGGGTGGGAGAGGAGGGATGCAAAGCAAAGATAATTGCATATTTATGCATTGAATCAATACACAGATGTGCAATTACACCAACTGAATCAATTGGTGCCACTTTCAAACTCGAAATCATTGGGGCATAGTACATGGGGTCTTGCTTAAAAAATGACTTACTCAGGAGATTCTCCCTACACTCTTAATAGCTTCCAATGTAATGTGGGAAATGGATGATCAACATTCAGTGCCAATATAGAAGTTGTGACATTTATCTCATAATGGCTTGGTGCTTTCTCCCTGATAATTCCTTTAATTGCAATCAGAAAAAGTGAGTATCAGGCATATACAAACTGATGTACTAATGATACAGCAGAGATGAAATTTGACATACAATGACTAATGTCAAATGAATGACAACCCTGAGAATGTTTTGACATCAAATATATTGAAGGTCAGTACTGTATGTATGTTACATTAAATAGATTATTGGAACCTATTTGAATGAACAATGATGGATGTCAATACAGTATAGGTAAACACCTACATTTATTTTAAATATAATTATGAGGTGCAAGAGTGTACAGACATGCTTGAACTATGTAAATGAAGAACAATAACAGATTTTATATATAATTCTGTAAATGCAACAAAACACACAACTGCAAAAGAAAAGTTCCACAGTAATAACCCAAATGAAAAAAATATGAATGTCATATTTATTAAGATACAAAGCAGCAGCAGACATTCAACAGTTTAGATTTATATATGCTAACAGTGTTATATATATATCATACCTGATCACTCTCGTCCATTTTGAAAGTCATCTTGTTAACCGTCTCTCCCACTCTATTAAACAGTCGTAGTACGCCTGCACTACTAAGGGCTGATGTTTGTGTAGCTCTAGGTAACTCTGCATCTGTAAATGTTCAATGCATAATTAACTATCCTAAACAAATACCGAAGCAAGGAAAATGATAATACACAAAAGTTCGGATGTCGTATAATGGCAAAAGGGAATATTTGTGGAGAATACCAGTCTCCGAACACTAAGGAAGTTACTGACTTTTTAAGTTTACTAAACCTAGTTATATTAGGACAATTGCAAAATTTGATACAAGTTGAAAGAGGAGAATATTTCCATAAAATGACAATGGAATGTGTGATGTACACATGATATCTCCATACATATTTATAAAATGAACAGAGGTGTGATTTGAACAATCCATAATATTATGACTCAAGATTCACATTAAGGTAAAATTTAACAAGACACTTCATTGTCAGGATGCAAAGTAGTATTTGGGGCATCATTGGAGTATGAAGTAGTTAAAATTTTCTGAACACAAGGGGAAATATGCAAAATCATACTTGTACTAATACCTATCAGAAAAAGAAGTTTCAGAATACTCACCTAACTCAATAAACTCCCTAAAATCTGGGTCTGCTCTTAGTGTTGGATGGGAACCTGTACGGTTCATGTAGCGCTCAAGAGAGGCTCGACGTTTTTCGATGAAGTCTGATGAAGCAGAGTCAGTGCTCTTGTCACTACTCAACTGATTGAGAAAAATATTCATAGCTATTAGACAAAAATTATAGGCAGCAAGACATGGAAATCTCAAATATCTTTTAAGAGTTATGCACAGAATTTTAAGATAACCATAGATGCTAAATTAATGAGTAACAACTGAGGAGGATTGGAATGTGTTGTAAGAAGACCTTGACAAACTTCAGGATTGGGCAGATAAATGGCTGCTGAAATTGAATCCAAATAAGTGTAAAGTAATGAAGATAAGGAGATAGGAGACCTGTTGGTAACTACACCATTAGGAAAAGGCAACTACAAAAACCCAAGACACGTTGTAGTCTATACACACTGCCTATGTGAGAAAATTACAAGGGTATGCAGAACTGCCATGGAAGCACAAAAGGCAAAAATGAGAAAGTACAGTACAGATGTATGCAACTAGATTTGTACTAGATTTGTGAGGGCTCAGCTATAACAACAGGTTAAGGAAACTCAACCTTGAAGGAGAGAAGAAACAGGATATATGATTACTACATATAAGATACTGAAGGGAATAAACAATATAGACATGGGGTAGCCTATTTAAATTGAAAATGGGACAAGAGAATACCAGTGAAAGCTGGATAACAACCGAGATAAATGTAAGGAAATTCTTGTACCCATTATTGGTGATCATTTGGTGAAGTCATTTCATCCATAACATGAAGTAAAAATATTATGAACATGGAGCTAGGTAACTGGCATGCCAGATATAAATGACTAGGTGGGTCGTAACGAGCTAGATCTCACTCCCTTGTAGTAACTCGTAGTAAAGCACTAATATTTTACTTTTTCACGTATGGTATATACTTAAAGTATTTACAAACTATATAAAAAAAAATTGACTGACCTTGATCTTTGTAGTACCAATGGCAGACTTTTCCGGGGCTGGAGGAATAATACGGCCAGAATGAAGATGTTTCTCCACTAACTTCCTATGCAACCCAAGGAAATCACTGAACCGACGCATCACACTCCAGTGTTTTTTTCTGGCATGAAAATGATTGAATTACTTCATTATTTTTGAAAAATGTAAATACATACACAAATATACTATTCCACAATTTAAGTGAGCAAGATTGAAATATATAAAACTTGCTTATATCAATAGCTAGATACTAACTAATCACATTATGCCAATATAATGTGGTAAAGTGCTATAATGCTCTTAATAAACAGAGCAAAAAATTCCTTATAAATATAGTAAATGGTAGATTCCCAATGCAAGTGTGAACATTATCAGGTTTAAAGTAATTACAATCAGAAGAAAATATACAGCATGAAAACAAAACAACGAACAGTACTCCTAATAAAATTCTTCCACAGCTTTGATGAAATGCCTCTTTCTGGTGGGACCTTGGCACCCTCCCTTCCCCCATTATGGGATCAAGGAGGAAGGTGTGCAGAGGTGATATGACCACTATGTACAAAATACTAACATGAATCTACAAAATTTCAAACAATTCTTGAAAACTACAACGTTAAGAACAAGAGCTCATAAATTAAAACTAGGGAAAACAATGCTGCCAAAAACATTACAAGTTCACTTTTGCAAACAGAGTGGTAGATGGTTAGAACAAGTGAGGTGGTGGTATATGCTAAAATCATTAGTAGTTTCAAACTGTCATATGACAGTACTGGGAAGACAGGGACACCATGAGCAGAGCTCTCATCCTGCAACTTGGGTAATTACAACTAGGTGGTTTGTCTCAGTGCTGTGCCATCTGGTTTTCTATGCTTTTTTACCTTGCTTTTTGTATGTTTTAACTTGCCCACCTAGCTGGTGGCTTTTTCTGGGTTAGGGTGCTCTGTGATTCCCTGCCCCTTGTGCCTCACTAGAGGGGGCCAGGTTTTGGCCTCTGGTTCCCAGTAGGTTCATATGATTGCAAGGTCCTGACAAGGACTGAATTGGGTGGAGTTTGCCAGGTAGCAAACACAAAGAAGCTACCAATGAAAGCCTTTCCAGTACAAATCTTATAAAATTTCTACCGACTTCCCTTGAAAATGAGTTTGCTTACAAAGAGAACTTTCCACTAATTTACAGTTTCATCAAGTCATTATTATTCATCTAATATTTTACACCATTCTTTAATATGTTTCCCTTAACATACCTTAGGATCCAATCCCTCTCATTATATATTTGTCATTCTAATGTTACAAAACTAACCCATCAAATTCTCCACACCACCACCACCAATAAATGAACACTGGTTCACTCACCTGAAGTAAGTAATATTTGTCTTAGTGGTGACCTTGTATGCCATGTATGAACTCATTCCTTCACCAATTTTTTGAGGATCAGAAATCGTGACCTGAATGAACTCGTCCCCACTCTCACTTTCCAACTGAAATGAGATAAATGCTCAAACTTTAATCAGATTATAATATTAAAAGAACACAAAGAAAATACTAACCAGTGGGAAGTGATTTGTTTACATGTATTGTACTTACAAGGCTTGCAAAGACAGATGGCTGGAATTGACAACTTTTCCCAAAGATAGGCTTCTTTCTGAGGGACTTTTGTTTTCTAGTGCATACAAAAACTTACACACACACACAGACTCCCCAAACCCACAAACCTACCCAATGCATCCAAAAGCCATACACAATGACATACCCCCAAAACCCTCATATCCAAAATCTCCCTAATTTTCACACATTTTAGGCCAATTTTTACTACACATGAACAATGCAGTCACACTATACTATCCAAATTGGACTTTTTAGATCATGTTTCAGCAACTTGTGTTTTAAGTCAAGACTTTTACTAAATAAAATGGGCACCATTGCTTTCCTCCATAATATCCTAAATCCTTCTCCTCATGTCCCTTCCAAGTGCTCTATAAGTCATAATGGCTTGGCACTTTCTCTTGATAATTACCTTACCATGCTCTACAGCTAGTTACAACATTACAAATTAAATAATGGAGGCAAGACAAGTAATTCACAATCATTCATCTATTAAGTTACCTGCTCAGGTGATGGTCTCGACACAGTCACAGGAGTTATTGGAGTCGGAGCTGCTGGAGTGATGCTTGGAGTAAGGTTCGGAGTGGTCGTTGGCGTCATGGGAACTACTGGAGGGGTTATTGGCACTCCCACTGGTGGCAAGATACTGGAAGCTGGCAACGAGTGGTCACTGGGATCCTACAGGAAAAAAGTGTTATTGTTTAAAATATCACTAATGTTAACTGACCTATGCAGCAACCTAGCATTTTGGGAAGTTTAGACACTAATTTGTCTATAGTATTCCCCAAATAATTGGTTCCCAGCTACTCACAAACGCCTGCATCTGCAGCTTCCGATTCATTGTTGGTTTCCCACTTCACATCTTACCTTTTACCTTCGTACGTTTATTCCATTTCACCACACTAACCTTTATTCAAGACTTCCACAAACTCCTAAATATCTTGAAACCTGTACTCAAATTTCATATGACAATGAGGTTTTTATACTTGCTGCAAAATAACCATGTATTGCTGGCATGTATTAAAATATACATTTAATTTTGGCCTTCAAAATGACTGCAGATATAAATGGGAGCCACATACACACACAAAGTTGAGAGTAAAATGAGTAAACTAAATCAAAACAACAAGGTATAACCACTTCCAATAATGCCTGAATATTTGTATAATCTTTTCAACTGATGATCTCCCAACAAATGATGCTATCAATTTTATACACAGATTAAAATTCCTCTTAATAGACTATTCCCACAATGATTTTCTCAAATGAACATCACAGTATACCATCTTACTGTATGTAATTTGTTGCTCTCTTTCACATTTCAGGTAACTTTAAAATCCATGGGCAGGGTAAACACACTGGCATAAGCAAATCATACTAACCTGGTTAAGTTGTAACTTGGGAGTTGAGGTAGACTCAAATAAAGCCCCATCTGGTTCCTCCTCCAGTGACACCTCCTGGAGACATAAATAATGTTGGCCAAGAGGACAACGGCATCTATATAGCAAGGATAATAGTGGACAATGTAACAGTTTTGTGAGGTGGCAAATAGGTTCCTTGAATTTGTGAATGTGGTGGAAATGTAAGGTCCTGCCTTGCTGGGTCAGAAAGGGGATATTTATTTGCGCTCCAAAAAACAAATCTAATCATACGAGGTCCGCCCTCATTGGAGTTAACCCATTCTTAATGGAAACGTTAAAATTGTAACATTCAAATTCATTCAAGATTCTTCTTCAGCAGAAATCTCAGAGTAATCCAAGTCTCTATTCAAGTTGAAAAGTCAAGCACTGTTTTATTAAAGTTCCACATTTCGTATAATATTAACACCAAATTCCTAGTCGGGTTAAAAGGTTAAAATGGATCAAAAACTCAAAGGTGAATTCACTGAGATTACTTAGAGTTTGGGTTATCAGAATCTGAATTACAGAGCTCTTACAGTATAGATTTTTTTCCACTTTCCTGTAACCTTCATTTTTATATAATTTTAGTTTTTTTAATTTCTAGAAAAAAATCTTGTGGGGAAATGCAAGAATTTTCACCACACAATCTTGGCCAAATAAGAATTTGTATTTTGTTTCATTGTAATATGTGTATTTATGCCATTTTGCCACAATCAATATTTCCTAAGATTTTTTTTTTAATTTATTCACTTCTATCTGAAAACTGTGCAGTAAATCAAATTTTTTCAGCCTACCATGGACAAACTATAACACCAACAATTATATGACTATAATTGTCTGAATTTGATCCAGCAATACCATCCTGGAGGGAGTATTACCTATATTGCTTCCATACTGCATCACTAACAATCTTTACCATAGTTTGACTGATTGCTTGTCTCAGCTGCATTACTCTATCACTTTCACTGTGAGTATAACACTGATAGATCTTATGCATAGTATTCTAAATCTGTGTTATCCTGCTCAATTTGTATTCAGTGCACACACTGTACTGTATAGGGAAACCACTCTCCATTTTTTGCTTAAAATCCTAAAAAATATCTTCTTTGGTTTATTTATAGTGGAAACCGTTTGTAAACATGCTCCCCACACTTGGAACTGTCATGGTGGCAGTATCATCAATATTTCCATTTAAATGTCAAGGAATGTGAGTGGCATACAATCTTTAGTGTTTACTAACATGACAAAAATAAATTTTGGTTGGAAGCGTCTCAAGCATAACCAAGCTATTCAGCGGTAGGAACAGCTGGCTGAACAAAAATTAACAACTGGCATGGATGAATAAGTAACAGATGATTTACTAATATATATAAATTCTTTAAGCTAACAACAGCATCAAAATTTTTTTAATTTTAGATAATGTAATGGCCAAATACAATTCAATTAAAATTTTTAGGATATAGTTAAGTTCTGAAAACTGGCACAGGAGTGTCAATTTAAAGTGATTATATTAAACAATGCTTGAGATTTCTGAGTAGTGAAATACAGCACTACTGACTACAGCAAAAGAAATCATTTGTGCCCTCTATTTAAATCAAGATTATTAAACACATCTGACATCAGGAAGGTGACAAATTGAAAATTGTTCCCAACAAAACTCAAATTTGGTTACCAAAATGGGAGGTAAGCTATACTGTAAAGCAATACATAAATGTCTTCAGTTTCAAGTTGATGTGAAGATGAACTCAAGATACTGTCTAGAAATAAAGCATCAGGAAAGAAAAAGAAGAGAGTACAGTAGGTAAAACTCACATGGTAACCCATGTCCTGTACTGTACCAGGGATAACTATATAATACTTGTACAAGCAAGCATAATCACAGATTTATGTTACTGTATTTCCTTGACATGAAAGTTTGTTTTTAATTTATGAGATTTAAGTAAATTCAAGGGTATTAAGGTATCCTACATAACCCAAATTCTGGAAGTAGATTCATATAATAAACCATTTAGACTACAGTACTGTAGTTTGAAATTAAGCTTATAATTATTAAAAGAACCACATACATAGACAAATTTAGTTTCCACTACCATATCCATATATATATACATGTATATATATTAGTGTTACATATGCTTACCTGCAAATGAATAGCAATTAAAGCAAGCCTGAGGACATCAGAAGGCTTACAACCTTCCAATTCCCTAGCCAATTAAAAATTAATTAGTATGTAGCCATGCAAGACACTGCTAAACAATTCTAAAGTGATGAAATACACTTATCTTAGAACCCTTACAGATTTCTTATTTCTCATATAGGAATTAATTGGTTATATTTTAATGTGAAAGGAGGCAGCCCCAATGAAATCTTTAGTATTGATACACAGGAACAGCACGCTCAAGAAAAAGTTTAGCCAGGGTCCAAACCTTAGTGTTGTCATCAAGGGAGATTTCAGTAGTGTCACCATCACCTAGGAAAGTGAGTGCATCATGCATGGAAGTGGGATCAGTATCAAGCTTTTGAGTAGTGGGTGCATCTGTGGTTTTGGAAGCAGAATCAGCAGCATCAACAATGTCATCATTAGAATTAGGAGATTGGTCATCAAGGATAGCACCATTAGCAGCAGGTTTCACAGTGGCATTAGGAGCAGCATCCAGGGAATTAGCTTCCTCAGCAGGGATGTTAAAACTATTCATGTTTGCTGGTTCTACAGAAGGTGCATCTACCAGGGTTGGGGCAAGTTGAGACGACAGCTCCTGTGGAAGGGTCATGCCGAAATCAAGTTCAGTACTGGATGTTGAAGTGGGTGGAGGTAAAGGTGGGAATTCCTGTTTATGACAAGAGGATTGTAGCACTAGATGAGCGTCTTCAGCATGGTTGGATTGAGCCGAGACTTGGTGGACAGAAGATTGGTAAGCAGGAATAATGTTATCTGAGGGAAGGTGTGTAAAGGGCTGTTCAATAGAACTGTGTGAAGTGATGGGTAGAGAATTACTCTGAGGTCCTTCAATAATGCTGAAAATAGGAGAAAGTGGAGGGACTGAAGTGCAACTCTCAGTTGAGTTGGAGGTAGTGGATTGTGTGTGTGTGGAAAAAGACTCTTCAGCAGGGCTGATAGTAGTGAAGGGTGCTGGTGTGGTGCTGGAAGGAGAGGGCGAAGGTGAAGGAGCAGGGTCTTGTGCCTCAGTGCTGACCTGCTGCGTGCCTCCCCCCCCAGCAGGATGCTCCAAAGGCACGGAGGAGAAGCCGCCCTCAGTGGCTTCCTCACTAGACTCAAAAAAGTCAGAATGGCCACCAACTGGGGGGTCAGGGGTGAGGGATGCAGCAGGTGGGGAAGAAGTGAGAGGGTCACCAGCACCCTCCTGCCTCCTGCAGTCCTCGGGAGTAGTCTGCTCGCTCACGGGCGACTGCAACAACACGAGTGATAACTATTACCACTACCACAAAACATGCAGCTAACTGATGCACTCCATGTTTAGGGTTGAGAAAAGTCATGAACATCAAGAAATCAAGAAAATATTGTCAGCTTGTGAAACTTTTTTTTTCACAATTGTTTAAGCAAAAAAATCTACAAAAAATAACTTGCAAAACAAAATAAATTAAATTAAGAAAGCACATTTTTTGTCTACTTATGTCAGTTGAGACTATTACAAAAGAAAACATCTATTGTTATTTTGTATATGCCCTACCTTAGGGAGAATAAAAATGCAGTCACTATCTAAAAAATAATCATTATTAATAGTTAATCAAATTACTGTGAAACAATGATTCCCTATAAATGACTTAAAAGCAGCATGAAAAATAATCAACTGGCATTCCAAGAGCATATATGAGAGCAACTCGGAGGTCTCATAACATGGCACTCATGCCCATGTTGAGGTAAGAAAACATTCAGTTAGTGCTCAAAGCTAAACAAATCTAAAAAGCCAAGCAAAATAAAGTTCTTAATCATTGACAAAAGACAAAAATCTAAATCATTTAAATAATAATAATAATAATGTAATAATAATAATAATAAATAATGATAATACTAATACAGGTAATAATAATTACAAAATAAAAGTTATGTCAAACTTTTTTCTAATTAGGCATTTTATGGCATCTTAACTGACCAAGTATAAGGTAGTGAACAACAATCTTCTAGGTGTTACTAGTCTAATGTTCATCATACAGCATCATGATCCCCCAGGATCCCATTTTCATTGGGTGGGGAGGCATCAGCCAGTACAAGATAAGAAAGCAGTAAAGGATGAGATGGCTAAAGATATTAAAAGACAAACACACACATCTATTCTTCCCATCTTAAACACCACACAGCATCTCGGAGAACCAGCACCACTACACTAATACAGAAATCGTATTGTTAATTGTGTAAAGTTAAATCTGATTCATGATTTGATATTCCATTTACTATACAGAACTTATATTGAATTTGCCAACCATTAAGGAGAAAAATAAATACTTAAAGAAAACAGCTATAAACATAAATGACATTACTGTAGTATATTTTTATATAGTACTGTATTCTCAACCCCTCCCTCTTCTTAATAAAAAAAAAAAAAAAATTGCATCGACAAGACAGAACCTGTCCAAATGCGTACATACTGGCATATTTTGTTAGGACACGTTCACAGCCGATACATACAGTACCTATTCATTAAGTCAACATGTAACAAATTTTGCATATTAATTTTTCAGAGTAAAAAAACAAAAACAAATAGGCCTTGGTTTGTTAGGTTCAGTTAATAATTATACCTACATTAAACTAGGTGGTTTGGGTTGGTTAGGTTAATTAAGGTGTACGCTTTACACACTATTATCCGAATCTTCAGGTTAACTGACTGGTCTTAGATTTAGGTAAGACATCCAGATTATACAACCACTGGTCAGATTATCCCTAGACAATATACTGTACTGGAAATCATAGTGAAAAATAAAAGTCCAACCCAGATAAGCTCTTGATCATACAAACAATGGTCAGTTAACTCAGGAAGAGAGTACAGTACTGTATTAAGTCTCTGGATTAACAGACCAGAAGTCAGTCCCAACTAATTTTTAGGAGTATGCAGTACACTATTTATATGAGCTGGGAGTGAGTAACATTTCTCAAGCAAAGTTTTAATCAAGTTGACGTAAGTAGAGTACAGTATAAAAATGACTTACCCCTTAATGTTAGTAAGTTATAACTTACACATGGAGTAACCAGCCTTGAGGATGGGCTTTACTTTTGGCAGGTAAAGTTTATCAGACCATTTCAGGTTCCCACAATTATTCAGTTACACTGGCTTGCTTCAGTATACCAGTAATGGTATTTAAAATGCAATGAACAGACAAGCCACATAACTGACTGGATTCTGAAAGGCTTCACAGTAGCATAGTTATTCTATGGCATAAGAATATGACATGAGAATAAGGTTACCTGTTCACCAATTTTAACTAAAAATTCACTGCAAATCTTGTGTAATCTTCAAAGATTTGCCCAAATCATTAAGCATGTAAGTGGCTTTCCAAGAATACACCATTTAATCATCAAAATCTGTACTTATACATTTACCTTCTTGTATATATGTGTACATAAGTAAGACATCTGTATTTGATGCATTATCTACTGTGGTGAAGTAACAGCTTCTTACACTGACCTCAATGTGATTATATTTGTTTCTAAATATTGTCTGGTCGATGTAATTTCACTTCTTATAATGACTTGAAATTTTAAAATTTAGTTCAGGGTTTAAACATAATCCACCAATTAGCCTTAGGAAAACCACCACAAAACACTAAAATGCTAATCTAAAATGCAACAACCATATTACAGCAATACACATGTATTGCATGGGGCTAATGTGCAACACAGTACATATAGTGAAGGCATATCATGCATATGGTGAGTGAGTGTCCCTGATCTGCAGTAGAGTACTGTACTGTACTGTACTCGGTGTAATCTGGCAATGTTGCTTTCTACCAGCTGGGATACTTTTGTACCTACCATTACTAATATCAATAAATACCCATGCTCTGTCAAGTCAATAACATCTAAGACGATTCCATCCAGAAAATTCAAGATTTTACTTCAACTCTTTTAAGTCTAAGATTTATTATTTTAATAGAAAACATTTCTAATGACTGGTAATCGAATTAAATAATTTTTCAAAATGTTATAGAAGCATTGTACTGTATATTCATAGCTCCTAGCATATTTTTGCTTTCATTGAATCAAACAATGTAGGTACAGTAGGGGTTTTTTTCACCAGTGGCTATACTGTATACCAGTGACTTTACCATATTGTGCACTGGTCTCTAGATTAACTTCTGATCAGAATAGCACGAGCCCCAACTTTTAACAATCACGAAGTGGCCAGAACCCAGCAACTTTACCCTATTACTTTAGATAAGGATAGCTTGTTCTATTACTAGCAAAACAGCATTACAAACCATTAATTGGTAGGAATTCCATCAACCTAGCAAAAACAAATTTAAAGACAGGCATACAAACAGGAATTAACATAAACAGTCCATTATAATGAAATGCTGCAGAAAACATATGGAGAAAACAACAATATCAGTAAACATGGAAAGCAACTACATGCAGGTCGATAACAAGTAAGGCCCCCCCTCGAGGACCGGGTCACGGGGTCGCTGAGCCCCGAAATCATCTCGAGGTAACCTCAAGGTAGAAAACAGACATCATATCCGGCCTATCATAAAGAGCACACACAGGATAGCATCAGTAAAACACACAATCATGCCAAATGTATGAGTAGCAGCCTTAAAGAGTTAACCATGATATTCTACACACACCACACTCAGAGAGTTACTGACAATACTAAAGAGTTCTAACATACGATATGCCTCAAAATTGGCCAAAACCTTTACTTCAATTTCCAGATACACTGCCCCAGCGTGCGGTAGTGCCAGCACCTCACTACTGGTAGACATTAAACCAGCCCCTGAAGCAGTAGGACATACTGAAGGTGGTACAGGAGGAGATACGTCAGTAAGGGGGAGGATCCCAACACTAACCTCAGGTCACCACTACACTAACTTCCTCTCACTAACCTCTACCATCAGGTCCCTCTACTCACCTGGACGGCCGAGGTGAAGAGGTCCTCGGTATCATCATCCTTGTGGGAGTCGTCGTCGTCATTAAAGAGAGGGGGAGGTTCCCGGGAGTCTGCCATCTTCCAGTCTGCTGCTGCTGCTGCTCTGCCGCCTGACAGGAAGTTACTCCCCTGAAACAGATTTTTTTCCCACCGGCGACCGCTTCTGGCGACCAAACTCCTCCCGGCGCCTCACTCACTTTTCAAATCAAATCAAATCAAATGTTTATTTAGGTAAAATACATACATACAAGGGGTGATATCAAAATTGCTGAATTTATAGATAGAGCTAGTACATACAATGCCTAAAGCCACTATTACGCAAAGCGTTTCGGGCAGGCGGTAAGTATACTTTTTAATTTTTAACTCTGTAACTACTATATGAGTACTGGAACACTTGATGATATATTGGACTTGTACCCCCTAGATTGACCATGTAATGTATCAATTATACAATGTATGTATGTGATGTAACTATGTAACCTGAGCTTGTGAAAGCACCTTAATCACCATCAGTGATAAGTGCTTAATTGCACACTAGTTTCTCTATCAGCTATCTCACCCTGTCAGAGTAAAAGAGACAAATGTATGTGTATGCATGTGTGTGTATATATATATGTTTGTATATATGTATATGTACGTATATGAGTGTGTATGTATGTGTATAAAGTATATGTGGAAGCTGATCAAAATTCCATTTCACCTTTGTAAATGCCCATTAATGACACTATGTAAAAGACACATCGAACACTTTATGTAGGGCATACGTAAATCTGTGTATTTATGTATTTACGTATGTAGCTTAGCCTATCATTTTAAAAGCACTACAATCACCTTCTGTGGTTGATTGTTCAATAAATCCCTGAACTATATGTTTAAAAAATCTCTAACCCTGTCCATGGAGGACAGAAGAAAATGCATATATGCTGGTTAGCATTGTTAATGTGTGGCCACATCTGTGGTAGAAAATAAAAATAATAATAAAAAAACTTAATTCAATTTATTTTCCCCATTCTAAGTTTGAGTTACACCCATAAAGAAATATTGTATATTGTATCTCTGTTATCTTCATTACAAGCCAATTATATATATATATATACTGTATATATATATATATATATATATATATATATATATATATATATATATATATATATATATATATATATATATATATATATATATATATATATATATATATATATATATATATATATATATACATATAAGTGGCTTGTAAGGCCCTAAATTTTGCATTTTATAAGTGTTAACGAGAATAAGTTAGGAATATAGTAAGAATGCCGCCAAGATGCATAACAAATTGTGTCATTAAATCTGTGTAAGATGGGGAGAGGGAATGCCTTTAGTTTGTCAATTTCAAAACATTAATAAGAAAATAATGCTGGAAACTCGTTCTAATTAAATAATTATATTTTTAGTAACTTTGTCTAATTTGTTAAAATTAACAAATGGAAAATAATTAAATGTCAGACTATGAGGCTATAATTATTATATCCTCATTATTATATAATATAATTATATAGTTATGAGGAATTATAAGCCGTAGTTTAATTAACTTATGCTTAAATACGACCCCTGCTTTTCAGGACAAATCTAAGTGCAGGCTTCCTGCCTCCACCCCTCCGTCCAAATAATATAACAGAAATGTAAACTTAAGGCTGTAAGAACTCTTGTATATACAAATAACATTAAAAATACAATAATTACACAAAAATAATTTGTGTGTGAACCTCGATGAGTTAGGTCGCCAGAGACGGTAAATCCCGCCACCGCCAGTGGTCGCCAGAGGCGGTCGCTTAGCCTAGCCGCCGCCAGCGCCATCTATAAACAATGGCTGACAGACTAACTTTTTTGTAACATTAAATAAAGTTAACTCTAAAGAAGTTCGCAATGTATTGTTAGAAAGTATTTGATTCACGCTTTAAATACGATGAATGGCGGGACATATATCAATGGAGTATGTGAGAGGTGAGGTGTGGGCCCCATGCCAGGTGCCCGAGGCGCTGCTCTAGCGGGGCCCTCACAAGTGAGAATATTATTTATTACTTTAATTCAGTATTTAATTTATATATTTTAATTATTACCGCTATGACTGGCCATGTTTATAATTGCGCACCCGCAGTTTATCCTCTCAATACTGTAGGTGATCAAAAATCAATAGTGAGATTACAATTTGTTTGTTCTCAGAGCTCAGTGGTATACTAGTGGGTATAACAGTGAAGGAAAAAGTGCAGCAATTTATGTCGTTAAATGTAAACTAGGCCTATGGGCTGCTGTGTGATTTGGATATGTGAGGAAAAATGCTCGTGGCAAGTTGTCATGATGAACTCCGCAGGAACCTCCCCAAGTCTAATCAAATGCACATTAAACGAAATGATATACAGCGTACAGTACTGTATGTTTGGTATATGGTGCAATAAAGTTTTCATTAATTAGCCACAGTTACCATATACTCCTAAAAATCAATTCGCTATCTTGAATAATGTCAGTGAGTTTGTCCCTATGTCCAGGAAGCACGGTACTTGAGAGAGGTAATTAGTGCGCTACGTATAAATGGCTAGAAGGCGGTTCATGAAGATCTAGGTCTTGCTCCTCTAGTCACTGATAGGTAAGCACAGGGTGGCCACAAAATTTGAACATTCCATAATAATGAACGTTCATTATATGAACGTTCATAATAAGGAACGTTCGTTCCCATAGACAAACAGTGAGAGAGTGTGGATACCAAAATCGTCAGTAGTTTCTAAGAGTCATATGACAAAAAATACTGGGAAGACGAGACATGACGAGCCTAGCTCTCATCCTGTAACTACACTTAGGTAATTACTCACACAGGTAATTAAACAGGCATTTATGTTTATTGGTTGCATTTATGATGATGTCTTTGAACACTTCTAATGGCATAGATGGAAAAGGTAAATTTTTTTCTTGTTAGAATTGTAATATGATAAACTATTCTGTGTTTTAACCTTTGGTGAGAACAAATCTTGTTTAAGAGGGCTAAAGTCAAATTGGTTAATCAAAGAGCATATTAGAATAATTATGAGAACCCCTTTTTTGCAGGTTTCATTTTCTTTCTATTAAAAGGTGTGTTGATTGTAAGAAAAGTGTTTATTATGAGCAAGATTACAGAGTGTTGGGAGTGGCTGCTGCTGAAGACCCCTATTATATCCCATCACACATGACACAATTATGAATATAAATACTTTTTGACTTAAGAAAATAATTACTGTTATTTTTAGAGTCAATTGAGAGCCTGGTACTAATTTCCCTTAATACTGTATTTGTATAATAAAGTTCTAAAAGCAAAATCTGCTTTGATCTTAAATTATTCTCTATTCACTAAAATTTTTACTTTTCAGGACTACAGAAATACAAGTACTGTAGTAAAAGAACTGGAATCAACAATGAAATATCCTTCTCCATCACCAACAGTTGCAGGAAATCCTAGATAACACCATGTTCACCAATGTAACTTAATGTGCCGCATCTTTTAAACGGTAATTGCTACAGAGATTTTAATTTAATTAATCCTTTAAAATACTGTTTATTATTCAATTACTAGATTTAATAGTTAGTTATCTAATATTTGTTCTGATAACTATAGTAAGATTCTTGAGTTATGCCACTCACTTGCTCCCTAATGCCTGAATGTCAACAGTCCGCACCAGTTCAGTGAGGATTGTTTCATGTTGATGCTGCTGGGTCTTACTGGTGCTAGTTTGATACTGATGAATACAGTACTCAGTTCAGCCCAGAATAACCACAAGAAAACACATTCCCAAAAATGTGATAATTTTCGAACACTAATTGGAATCTCGATGACTACCAATTAGAGCTCTCGCAAACTATCGATTGCCGCACTCCATTCATTACACTTGACCACCTGACATAAACTCTGGGGCACCTCTCTTGAGCTACTTGACAGTCTAATGCTGTTTGTTTGGACTGGTGAAAGATAAAAATTTGCTCAAGTAACTTGGTGTTTATAAATGTTATTTTCACATCTATGTTTTGATATCATAGTTAACATAGAGTTCTTGGCAACCAGGCCTCTGGTTGTAATTTATTGTACTTGGCACCTTCTTTTGAAAATAACATTTTCAATAACATAACATAAATAACATAACACCAAAACTTACTTGACGGGAATCCTATATAGTCTTTCTGGCTTGGTGCCTTCTTTTGATAATTACTGTACTTATTTGAGTGGGAATGCATTGTTCAGTACAGTACATATCTAAACTATATGGGAAAGACCCCCAGACCAGATAAGCCAGATATCGGGATAAGCAGAATTCTTTCCAGGGAAGTCCAAAAATGACCATATTCTAAATTTATTGCACCACAACCAACATAATTCTGATTTCCACACAGTCTAAATAGAAAATAACATTTAAAATAGAAACTGTAGCTTACCTTGTTGTAGTTTGTCTTCTTTGTTTGATCTTGAAATGTGTAGTTTTGAAAATTTCCATAACCTAATCTCTGGTTATCTAGATTTCTGTCTGGATAGGGTGAAGGTTTGCCAGAAAATTAACCAGACACGATTTCGGCCGGATAACCCAAATACTGTATTCAGTTCAGTGAGGTTCGGATAACCGAGCTCTTACAGTATATCGGATTTTGTACAATACAATGGATTTTGGATCCTAACTGAGGCGGGAAATAACTGGGTATATGTACCTTTATTGCAACAGTCCTCTCACCAAATTTATGCTTAGACATATAGAACTTGTACAGTGAGCGTTCAAAAAAAGGTTAGTAAGTAATTCGAGTTTGATAATCAAACAAAACTGTATACTGTGTCTAGTTTTTATTAGTTCATTCTTTTTTTATACACAGGTGGGTACAGGAACAGACAACTGCTGATTCCTGTTAGCACTGTTAGCAGGCTGAGAGCTTTTCCTTCCTTTAACTTATGGTAATTATCAGATTTATATAATGTTTAGTTTACAATAATTAGTTTATTAAGGATTACATACCTATTATGTGGATAAGTGGCATAAAGGTTACATAGTCACATTCAGGTACTGAAGCCCAGTGATCAAGCTAAGAAATTTACAGTTGTGATGACTAGTTACATATAAATATTAGTTACCTATCATGTACCCATCACCAATCCAGTGGGCAGTGGTGGAAATGTTAGTCACGTACACGTACCACCTACAGTAGGCAAACTGAGGATACTAAAACAATGAAAAGGAAAAATACTTTTAAGTCTGTATTAAGCATTTCATATATTAATTTGTTTGTATTTATTTACAGAACATGAATAAAAGTAGCAGTAGCAACAGTGCCAACAGAAGCATTGTTTGTGATGACAGCAACAGAAACAATAGAAACAATAATATCAAGAGAGAACAAACAATATGTGAAGGAACCACTGTGCCAGCTGTGTGTGAGGCAGGTAGAGGTGCAGTGTCAGAAGCCAGTAGTGCAGCTGTCAGTGTTCCCTCCACATACCAAGGACATAGTCATGTAGGGAACAGAGGGGAAAGTGCAGCCTCGGCCAATGCCTCATATCATCACAGTGCTGGAGCTGGGAATGGTGAAAATAATGGCATTGCTGTTTCATCTGGCTACCATCATAGCAGTTCTACTGGAACAAATGCACCTGGGGGAGGAGTCAGTGAGCCCTCAAATATTCCAACCAGTTACCATCAAGCAGGCATTGGAAGTGGGGGTCCAAGCATAGGGGAAGGGGGAGTGGCAGGTGGAGGTGGAATACCAGCAAATGTTTCATCAGCCTACCATCTTCCACATGGGGGAGGAGGAGGAGGAGGAGAAGGAGGAGGAGGAGGAGGAGGAGGAATTGTTGCAGGGAATGGAGGTCCTGGAGTGCAAGTTAATACAGCACCAAGTTATTATTACTCACCAATATTGAATTCCCAGCAGTCTCTTCTGCGTCCCATAATGACTGCTCAGCCTCCACTGTATTCCCCACTGCTTGCATCTCAACAACACTCATATCCAATGCCACATGCATCACCTTCTGCAGGTAAGCATTAATAATTCCGGGAGGTCTGTAAATTGGGAAACTTTCACTAGTAATATTTGGCAGTTTTAAAATTATAATTTTGAATATCTTTTAGTTGTCTAGTTTATGTGTATATGAGAGTATATGTGTATGCGAGAGTGGTTGTAGTGTCTCGAGGTACATTACTAGAGGTCATGGAATAAAGACAGCCCAAAACCAAGAAAAAATTGACCAGAAAGTAAAAATACTTGAAGACAAGGAAAAGCTTGTAAGAAGTAAGTACCCTAGAAAACAAGACAAAGAATTGTTACTGATGGGGAAAACACCCCAGTTGTGGAGCACCTGACCACTATAAAATGGCAGCACATGCAATCCAGGATACCAGACAGTCAAGCACCTCATTTACTTGCCCGGTGTTGTCTGGGATGCATGCCTCAGCTAGGCCTACATTTTGCTTCTTGCTTTCTAATTAGTGGTATTGGCTATTATATAAATATTTTTGTTTTCCACATGGAGCTAGTGCTTTGTTTTTGTTCAATTTCCTGCTTGGAAAATGGATTTGAGCAGGTGGAACTAAATTTGGGGTGTCTGAAGGAAGGCCCATGCTAGTTAAAACTGTTAACTAATTACAATATAACAACGACAAATTTTAAGATGATTGTTGTAAATATTGCATTGATGTGTTAATGCAAAAATTTATTTCAGGGTCATCATACTTTGCTAACTTGAGCGAGAGCATGCGTGGTGGACTAACTGAAATGTTGCCAGGCACACCTGAGAACGTTTACAAAGATGTGGGACAGTCTGGGAGGCAAGGATCAAGCACAGAACATACAGCTAAAGCATGTGATGCTTCAGATTCTCGCCAGTATGCCATGGACGTTTGCCAGCGCAGACTTCAGCAAGATGGAGGGTATAATTCTGTGGCTTATCCCTCTTGTGGAGAAGTTGCAACACGACCAGGTCATGGACACGACCAACGAACCTTTGACGATTATTCTCGTATGACTGTATATAGTGAGGATGGGGCAGGAAGAAGTTGGGAAGGAATGGGAGGATGTGGAACAGTGACATCTTCATCAACATCACGCACTGCTGTCCCACCCAATCATATGTCTCACCCATACACCTACTCTTACACTGATTGTCGCCTTGATGCTGCTTGGAATAAGTGTGTGGCAGGCATGAGCGTAGGTACTGTGGGTGGAGTGAATGGGGAAGGTTTTGCTCCACAAGAACAGCAAGTTGATAATACTCAAGTAAAGACTGTAGCTCGTGGTGCTGCCACCCACTCACTGACAGTCAACATGAACATGAGCATGAGTACTGTTGATCCTTCAATGTCTCGATCCCACTATGAGTATCAACCATTACCTGGCACACAGATACCGCCATTTCTACCTTACCTCACACCACTGAGCTACCAGCAAGTTACAGATTCTCGGGTTGAAAATCGCTCAGACCACCGATCAACTTCCCATCGCTCGGATCATCAAGTAAGTACCTTCAGTAATTTGATGTGTTCCACATATAGATGATCCTCATTTAATGACATGTGTTCTTTAAAAACCTCTCATATAATTAAATTACAGTCATGTATATAAAAATTAATCTTTCCATAACTACTATTATATAATAAGAGATATGTTCCTAAGAATTTTCATTCTGTATATTTTCCAAACCATACCAAATAAATATTTAAGCACTGCACAGGAGTATCCACATGCACTAATACAGTGTGTAGACAAAGACAGAACAAATATGGTTAAAATATATGTAAGAGGAGCACTCACCAACAATTTGTAGGTTTGTTGGCATAATGACTTTAAGGAGAATGTGAGAGTTGGAGGTTAGTGGGAGTCAAATAGAGGGCATACACAAACTTATTTGGCCTGCTCTGAACAAACAGTTTTGTGAACTCTCAACTAGTTGATGATGTAAATTCTTAGACAAACTTCTGGCTTTCTGAATTTCCAACAAGCTAAGATGGATATTGTATTGGTTTTGTCCTTGATTAAAATACTGAGAAAACTTCAGGTTCTCCATCGAATCAGTACGAGTGTGAATTAATCTTTGAGCAGCGACAGGATTTGCACAGTGTGCACTTTCTGTTAGTTTCTCACTTTGAGTAAGGATGTCAAACACAGTTGAATAAGGATGACCAAGACAGTTCCTGGTTTTCACACCAGCATCAATCCATCATGAAATATAACATTTTGTGTATAAAGTAATGGCCTTCATCTTAGCTTCTGCATTACTGCAATCATTATCACTTAATACCCTTTGGAATTCATGTTGACTGGAATAAAATGAATACAGTATAAGTTGACCAAACCACACACTAGAAAGTGAAGGGATGACGATGTTTCTTCTCTTCACAATCAACCTGAGAATGGTCCAGGACAGACTGAAACGTCGCCGTCCCTTCCCTTTCTAGTGTGTGGTTTGGTCAACATATTTCAGCCACGTCATTGTGACTCCTCGTCTGCAATACAGTATAACAATGAAGCAGGGCACAAAATGAGTTGCAAAGTATGCCTTGATATTTAAAACTATAGTTAGCAAGAAGTGAATTCACACCACTTTACAAGAGGGAATTCATACCACTTTACAAGAAGTGCATTCACACCACTTTACAAGAAGTGAATTCACACCACTTTACAAGAAGTGAATTCACACCACTTTACAGTGAATAATCATTGCTGTGTGTTTCTTTGTTAACCGAGCAGACACACGAGCCGCCGCCAGCAAAGTCTGGTAAGGGGCACCCTGCTACACTAATGGTCATAAATTGATATGACCATTACTGCTGCAGCTTTTGATGTACTATACACTTGGTATAGTACAATATACTATACCCTTGGTATAGTACATCAAAAACTCACTAATGTCTTGGCCGTCATACAGTATATCAAAACACCATATTGTAACATTGTTAGTAAAGCTTTACTTGTACTGTACTCTGTGTATAGATGTGTATAGATCTTAAAGTAATTATGTACTTGAGATTATTTGCAAATAATTTATCTTAGAAAAAATTACATTTTAATATACATGGGTAATAAAGATATGCAGATACTGAATACACAAAAATCTGTTAAAGAATGCCTTTTATTAATATATTAAACTTTATTCAAAATGTTAGTAATTAATACTACGGTTGAATTGGTATCTGGGATGTCACCCCTGAGTGGTTCCTGATGCTCAGTGTTGGTCAAGCTCAGTTTTAGGGAGATACACCAAGCCTCTGAGACCCACTCTTGTTTACCAGGAGGAAGGATCAGAATCTAGCTCTCCATAAGACACGGGAAGCTTAGGAATACAAAGATTAGTTAAAGCATTCATTTTAAAGAAGAAATGACTCGTCGGTAAAGATAACAGAACAGAACGTTGGACAGAACTATATTATTGAGATAAAACTTGATTATTATATAATGTAAAAGACAAATTTAATGTTTTTAATTGTGTGGCACTTAATTGTTGTTTGGTTATTAAATAAATAGCTCAGTATTTAACAAATCATAGTGCATTTTATATAATATATAAAATTTAATGCTACTAATCAGTAAATCTCAGAAACTTTTACAATGTATATCTTTAGGCTTGTTCTGGGCAAGTGAACCAAGCCAGCACAAGACAACTCGAGCATCACATAGCACCTGCAGCAGAAAAACTTCCTACTCTTCCACTTCCTCCTCCAGCCCAGCCGCCACTTCCCTTACCTCATCCAGTACTTCCTGCTACCCAGCCACCACCACCATCAATAACCCATGCATTACCTCCTCTGACTCAGCCTGCAGTTGCAATTCCTCATGCATTAACATCGAGTGAGCCGAGTGTCAGTACACACACCAACTCTGTCACCACCTCCCACCAAGAGTGTCTCGGTCATACAAAAAATACTCCGATTGATCTCATTCAGGTGAGTTTTGAAGAGTATTTTAGTTTTGCAGGTAATATTTCAATGAGCCAATTTAGCATTAGTTGCAAGTACTGTACAGAAAATGGTTGTGTAAAAAATATTTGGTTGCAACTTTGGAACAAATCCAGGGTACACCTGGCCCTCATCTTGAAATGAGCAGTGTGCTACAAAAACGGCTTCACTTTTATGCTTGGTACACAAAACTGAAACGAGAAGAAGCAAGCCCTTGGAAATTTATAATATTCTTAGTACAGTATTCATACAATAAAATCAAGTTTAGAGCTTACTGGTTTTTGTATTCATCAGGCATGCAGTCACACTGTGTACAAGAAGAAAAATTCAGAAGAGGCAATAAATGATTGTCGCCTGTGTGTGGTGTGTGACAGTGGTGCTACGATGACTGAAGCTCAGCAAGGAGGAGTTGTAGCAGCATCAAGTGCAGTCCCTTGTTCCACCGACTCTCTCGCTGTAACGAAGGTAGGTGTTTGATAAGCTGTGTACGTCACACACATATATATACAGTATATGAATATCTATGATGGGATCAAGGCAGAAGACATTTAAATAATTTTGGCTTTTTGATTTATTAATAATCTTAACGTAACTGTAAGCAATGCAAATGCAAATCTTTGATAGTAACACAGAATTATGATATTTAAGGTTTATAGTTAATAACATTGTGAATGAGAAAGCAGTTCCAGAAAATGGAGAACTTTAGGAAAGAAAAACTGAAAGGGGCACACAAGTTTCACAAATGGAAAATAATTATGAGTGAAATTAAAGAAAAAGCATACAATAAGTGTTTGCTCTGATTTGTTTTTATAAGAATATCAACATTTAAGTTACAGTACAGTAAGGTACAGAGGTGAGTAAAGACAATACCAGCACAGCTGGTCTAGCTACATGACCTTGTCAATATTTAGAGAACTGATAAAGTAAACATTGCTGAAGGAAAGATAAATGTATAGTGCACCTGTGGAATGGCATCGTAATACTGTATTTCTATAATTAAAACAGATAACTAGATATCTTGGAATATTGACAAAATACAATACTAACAAATGTAATGATTGAGTTGCACTAGAGCACCCATCATAGTTTAGGTGATAAAACTACAGAAGAAGGAAAGAAAAATAGTTGAGAAGAATATAGGGCTTGAGGAAGTTAACAGAATGTGAAAAACATAAACAAGTTTTCTTCTTTACAGGCTTTCATATTTAAATTTATCCTGTATTATTATGATTGGAAGCAAAATTGTACTTATTCATTACTTCATTAGTATTCATTGTACTTATTCTACTTAATTATACAACTCTGCAGAATGATATTTCATCGACATACAAGAAGAAGCATGTAGGTGACGAACCATCCTTGACGAGTGATAGTGAGGGAACTGTGTGCTTGATCTGTGATGCAGTGGTAGGCAGTGGCAGCCAGCACAACAACAACAATAACACTGCAAATACAGAAACTGATTCAGCAGTTGCTGGATGTTCAATGGACTCCCTTAGCACTGTTATGTCTAAAGTACGTACCTCCACTATCCCTCGTACTATAATCCTTCATCCCGTTTCACATCTGTTACTCGTATTGGACAATAGTCAACTTTTTGGAAATAAAACAAAAAAGCAGCACAATAAGACATATGAATATGGGCAAATGAGTTAAATCTAGTACAACTAGTGAAAATGTTAGCTACTTGTCAGTCAGTTGAGAAGCTCAAAGAGAGAAATAAGGTAGATCTACCTATTTTTTGGTAGAAATGTTTCCTAATTTCATTCCCTTTTCCACTCCCCCCCCTTCCTTTTCTAATATCTCTTCCAAGACTCTCTTCTCACTGGCTGCAGGTAAGTAGAATAGTGACCTCATTCTTTGTTGTGATTTAATGGTTTTCTCAATTTGGCATGACTAATAATGGGACCGGTTCTAATGACCAAACCACACATCAGAAAATGGAGAAATCCATTTCTTTCCATCCCAGGCCATTATCAAGTCATGTGAACACGATTGGATAATGGTCCTGGACCAACTGAAATGTTGTCGTTTCTCCATTTTCTGATACAGTACTGTATGTGGTTTGATCATTATTTCTTCAGCCACATTATTGTGATTCATCATCTGCATGTGACTAATTCTTTTCAAAGGAGTCCTTTGGTTATCAAAACTTCAGGAGTCGATGGATATCGAGGCTTGAGGAGTCCTGTGGTTTTCGAGGCTTGGTTTCTGCACCCTGGTGTACATTATTCCCTTTGTTCAGTCACTTCACTTTGTTGTTACTTGTCTGTCTCTCATCATAAGTCTTCTGAAAGGCTGTTCATTAACTGCAGGTCTGTGCGCCTGTGTACCAAGATAATTATGATTTCTCAAATGCTGAGTAAATTGGTTAAGTTAGTTCTTATCGTTAAGTTTATTTCCAGTGACACTCTAGATATAATAATGATTAGGGTCTATTTAAGAATGTGTTCAGTATGTCATCTTATATGACTGTGAATACTCCTGGTCTAAGGACACATTGGATCTTACCTTAGAGAACAATTAAATGTAAATACTGAAGCTCAGAAAGATACTTATATTTTATATTAACTCAAAACCTTTCTTTATTATGCATGTTCATTTTCTATGTATCTGATTTCCTATCCAAATACAGCATGCTCAAATACATGTTTTATATTTTTAGTATAATAAAATTATATTAATTTTGATGCAAATTAGTAAGAAACACAAGTCTAGTTAGAATGGAGATCCAGTGACACGAGGGTCCAGTGCTAATTGGTCCGTATAATTGAGACTTAACTGTACTTAACCACAGCACGCAGGAAACTAAAAATCTATTTATTTGTTATACTTGTAATACTCCAATGCTTTTATACATGTCACTATCATTGCTTTCTTTCATTCATCAGGCACAGAGATTTTTGCCAAACCTTCTAGCAAATTTACCACAGCTTTTCCCTCTGAAATCTTTACTGTCACCTTATCTTTTGCATTTCATCTTAGATTTCAATTTAACAGTCATTTTCATGTCATATCCTTTATGTGTTATTTATTTTGTTCTTTTTGTTGCAGGTTAGTGTTGGAGACAAGCTGGGTGGACTGATGGGTGTCATCCTGCCTCGCCACCTACTGCACTCCACTATCATTTGCAGTAAATGTTTTCACCTGATCAATGAGCTTGATATTTTAGAGCATCGTTTCTCTTTATATAGGTAAGATATATATGGGGGGTCCCCTTCAGTGGGTGCCAAGCTAAGCAATGGTTCAGCCAAGGCCTAGGGAGGTGCTTGACATTTCCTTGATTTACTACTCCATAAATAATCCAATCTTTTAGCCTAATCAGAAACATATGAACCCAAGCAACCCACCTACCAGATCAAGTCTGATGCCCAGAAGACATGAATATTTGTGAGCCATTACTTTTCTTAATAGGTTGCATTTTGTAACATTGGTTACAATAACATAACAAAACACAACCAATTAGTTGAGAGGACAGGTTGCTCCGAGACCTGCCCTTGCCTACTAGAGGCAGGACCAGAATCTGGTTCTCTCTACAAAAGCAAACATGTACCCCCACCAGAAAACTTAATTACGACAAAATTAGAAACTGCTTAAGAAAATTGGGTACCTAAAGATAATAAGAATAGCAATCGTTACTACGATGTAAACATTCCATCCATTTTCCACCTGACTGCTGCCAGGTGGCAGCCCAGATCTTCCAGGGGTTCCCACCAGCTCGCTACCTCAATCATTCGCCTGGTCACAGCTTTTCAACACAAACACTACATTTAGTCAATCAAATAAATGCAGCAACGAATGTAAAAACATCCAAGGTGAACACGTGAGCCCCTTTGCACAGTAGCAGTCAACAACCCTCATGTCTGGAATTGAAAGCCACAATATTCTCACTATTCACTTCCTTCTATAGCTCACCAAATCAGAAAAATATTTTATTACCCTTTTTTCTTACTTTTTCATACAAATGTGTAATTATATAAGAAAAAAAAATATTTTGTAATTTTTTGAGGGTTAAAAATCACTGGGTAACTTATCCCCACACTCTTGGCTATTATAGCCGTGGATATACAGTACTGGTACTTAATTCCACGATAATTGCAGTGACTTCTGCTGCAGTTATCAGATCACTTTCATTAAAATATCTTTTTGTAAAAAACTATTAATAGGTGCACTTATCTTTCCTTGATTTGAATTTCTCATTGAAGGCTTATGTTTGGTAACGGCACATTCGAAGTTAATACTGTAGCTCTTAAACTCTTCTGGTAATGCTTGCAGGCAAAAGCTCCATTCTCTTTCAAATTCACTTGTTTTTACCAATCAGTGAAACTATTTCAACCATTTACTTAGAATGAGCAGTAATATATTTTTGCTGTAGAATTGGTCTCCATCTTGGTCTTCCCAAATATTAAAGTTTATTAAAGAGAGAACGTGAACAACCAGTGGTAAGAATGAGGAGTAATAAATGAATGACCAACTACTATTGTAGCAGCTCCTACTGTTGGGAGTTTATGTAGCCCTGAACAAAACTTGTGTGATACAAGAATGGATTTGTCTTTGGTACACACACTATACTTAAATTTTACTAAGTTCTAACTCCACATTTTGCCCACTTCAAATGTGTCTTTTTCAATAGGAATTGGAAACTGCCAAAACAGCAAAATGTGTTTGATGCCGTTATTTTTTTATTTCCCCTTGAAAATGAAATGATTAAGGAGCATCCTCCTTATTACAGTACTTATATACAGTAATTTAATTTATATATGTACAATGCATACAGTTTTTATTAATATCCATTTTTATTTATATGCTGTATGTATGTATGTATGTATGTATGTATGTATGTATGTATGTATGTATGTATGTATGTGTGTGTATGTATGTATATTTGTGTGTAATTACCTAATT